GAGGAGCAGCCTTGTGAGGCTACAGAGGAGGACAATGCAGCCAGTCCTGATGAGGCCTGATAGGCTAGGGTCAGAAGGAAGGGTAGGAGGACCTCCCCTATCAGTAGATTGGGGGAGGGACATGGGAGGAGAAGAAGGAGGAAGAGCAGAATTGGGAGGGCAGGAAGAAGGGGGTTACAGCTGGGATACAAAGTGAATAAATTATAATAAACAAAAAAAAAAAAGAAAAGAAAAAGAAAAAGAAAAAAATAAACTGGGAGAATAGCAAACAAACAAAAACCCCAAAGAAGCCAAATCACTCACCTGATCACCCAGCAAAGTAGTGTGAAAGTTTAGGCAAGATAGACAAATGAATTGATGAACGGAAGAATAACAATTCCATTATAAATAGGAAAAAAAAAAATTCTATATGCCCATTATAGAAAAACTGATGACCTTGGAGGTAAACAGTAAAGACTATGGATCATCTCACACAATGAAAAGGCTAGGCTGGGCAGACTGTTCTGCTGATCAGGCTCTTCATAATCAGAGTTGCCAGTCAAGGCTGCCCAGCAAGGGGAAAGTGATCCAAAGCAGGCAACAGAGTCCATGTAAGAGGCGGCTCCTGTTCCACTTAGTAGGGAACCCACATGATTGGTCTAGATGTAGCCATGCATTCTCCTTGGTTGGTGGTTCAGTCTCTGGGAGGCCCCATGGCATAGGTTGGTTGATTCTGTAGGTCTTCTTGTGACGTTCTTGTCCCCTCAAAGTCCTTCTAACTCTTTCACAAGACTCCCTGAGCTCCACCTAATGTTTGGATGTAGGTCTCAGCATTGTTTCGATCTGCTGCTGGGTGGAACCTCACAGAGCACGCTAGGCTCCTGTCTGCAAGCACAGCAGAGTGTCATTAATAGTGTCAGGAGTTGGCTCTCTTCCACAGGGCAAGTCTCCGGTTGGGCCAGTCGTTGATTGGACATTCCCTCAAAGTATGCTTCATCTTTGTCTCAGCACATCTTGTAGGCAGGGCAGATTTTGGGTTGAAGGTTTTGTGGGTAGGTTGGTGTCTCCCTGCATCCACTGAAAGTCCTGCCTGGCTAGGAGGTGGCCACTTCAGTCTCCATGTCCCCCGCTAGGAGTCTCAGCTATAGTCCCATATCTTCCCAGGAGCCTACCCTGTCACAGGTCTCCAGCTTGTCCCAGAGATGCAACCCCATTTCCCTTCTCTCCCAGCCCTTTGGCCTCCTAACCCCTGACCCCTGCTCTCCTCACATCTGATCACCACCCTCATTCCCCCTCCTCCACACCATCTCCCATGCAGTTTCCTCTCTTCATCCACTTCCACTGTCTGTTTTATTTCCCCTTCAGACAGATTCAAGCATCCTTCCTTGGGCCTCCTTATTACTTAGCTTCTTTGGGTCTGTGGATTGTGGTAAGGTTGTCCTGTACTATATGGCTAAAATCCGCTTATAAGTGAATACTTTCCATGTGTGTCTCTCTGGGTCTGGGCTACCTCATTCAGTACATTTTATAGTTCCATCCATTTGCCTGCAAAGTTCATGATTTCTTTGTTTTTATGAGCTGAGTAGTATTCCATTGTGCAAATGTACTACATTTTCTGTATGCATTCACACCTATGGACACTTGATTTTTCACAAAGAAGCCAAAACCATACAATGGGAAAAAGAAAGCATCTTCAATAAATGGTGCTGATCTAACTGGATGTCTCCATGTAGAAAAATGCAAATAGGTTCATATTTATTACCCTGCACAAAACTCACGTCTAAGTGGATCAAAGATCTCAACATAAAAACAAATATAGTAAATCTATTAGAAGAGAAAGTGGGGAAGAGCCTCAAACTCAATGGCACAGGCAACAACTTCCTGAACAGAACACCAACAGCACAGGCTCTAAGATCAACAATTCATAAGTGGGACCTCATGAAACTGAAAAACCTCTGTAAAGCAAAGGACACCGTCAATAGAAAAAAACGGCAGCCTACATATGGGATACATGGATACATCCAACAGAGGACTAATATCCAAAATATATGAAGAACTAAAGAAACACCAACAAACCAAAGAATCCAATTTAAAAATGAGGTACAGAGAGAAGTGTGGACTCCTTCCGGTTCCAGCCTTGCAAGCTTCAGTGTGGCAACATGAAACTGCTCACCCACAATCTCCTGAGCTCATATGTGCGGAGCGCGGGCCCGTGTGCTTCCGGCTGCACCTGCAGGCCACCATGGTCCATATCAACCCCAACTCAACGCTTATGATCCCCAAAGTGGAGTGGGCAGCACTTGAGCAGGCAGCGGACACCTTAAACCTGACTGAGATAGCCAAAGAACCGACTGAAGATTATGAGCATGATGAGGCGTTTTGGAGGAAGATAGACCCGGTGTTGCTTGAGGTTGACGGGCTGGAGGGCACCCGGCAGTGCTCAGAATCTGGTTGTCTTTCCTCGTCAGCTGCGGGATCCCCAGTATGCTGTTGAATGAGATGTAACCTTGCTGGCCACCACTTTGGCATTTTGTGACCATGCGTATCTGTTGCATAGTCTGTTAACTAGCTCTCTCATGTGTGACCCCAATCTCTGCCACACCCCCTCCCAGGGACTCACTGACCACCATGTGCTTGAGCTCCATACTATATATTTTTCTCATTAAGGGTTCAAAACCAAAAAGAAAGAAAATAAAACAAAACAAAACAAGAAAACAACAACAAAATATGCAGTACAGAGCTAGACCAAGAATTCTCAACAGAGAAATCTCTAATGGCCGAGAAACACTCAAAGAAATGCTCAAAGTCCTTAGTCATCAGGGAAATGCAAATCAAATGACTCTGAGATTCCATCTTATACCTGTCAGAGTGGCTAAGGTCAAAAAGTCAAGTGACAGCACATGTTGGCTAGGCTGTGGAGCAAGGGGAACCCTCCATTGCTGGTGGGAGTGCAAACATGTACAACCACTTTGGAAATCAATCTGACACTTTCTCAGAAAATTGGGAATAATTCCACCTCAAGACCCAGCTATACAACTCTGGTCATCTACGCAAGATGCTCCACCACACAACCAGGATGCATATAACACAGGGCTCAGAATGCACTTCCCTAAGCGCTGGGTTTTTGGAAGGGCAGGCTGACCCTCCAGCCAACTGGAAGCTCAGTGGACGCTGTGGCTGTGTCCAACACTGCAGGTGCTAGCTACGAAGGACATTCAAGTTACGCTTTCCTCCTAGTTATCTGTTTACTTTTCACCTCTTAACTCTGGACTTAATAAGCAGTTAAGTGCTACAGACACAGTCCACAGGGCAGCCTTGACCCTGATGCCAAGCTGATCAGAAGAAATGAAAGTAAACCAAGCAAAAACCCCAAGTCAGCATGAGGGATGAGAGTCATGAGGGATGAGAACAGGCTTTTATGAGAGGGTGGCAGAACAATGTAAATGAAAGGGGGCCAGGAAAAGCTATGGGAAATTAAACAGAGACTAATACAAAAAGCAGACTAGAGCACAAGCCATCAGTTTCCAATTCCTTCCTAATTACTTTCTCCCCTAGGCAATTAGGAACGAGACCTATCTTTTAGACTGCACATTGCAAGAGGTCCAGATGGGCAGGGTTGCCACTGAGATGGTCTCGAGCTGCCTTCTCAGCCATTTCTGCTGTTTACAGATTGGCATTGCTTTATCTATTATTTGTTAGTCTGTTGCCTCTGGTACCTGTTTCCATGTATCCCTCTGCCCTGCTCCACCCACCCGACCACCTTCTGACTCCTCTCTTAAAAACAAGGATTGCTCCAAATACACGTAGAAGTATATGCATTCGGAAATTTAGAAAATAAGCACTATTATCAGTTTATCGAAAATAACTGGGGGACCTTGCTTACTGCAGGTACGAAAGACAGCTGTCCCTCAAGGGAGAAAGGGCAAGCAGTCCTGACCTGTTCAGAGGTAGACGGTCACTGCACTGTGAAGCTGTGCACCTCAAGAGTGTAGGCAGCCAACAGCAGTGCTGGAATGGCTTAGGAGACTGTGAGCACTCAGACCTGGGACGCACAAAGCCTACTGCCTACAGATGCCCAGTCCATCATGGTCCCCAGGTGCTGAGGCACTGGCACCCAGGATCTAAAGCAAGGGACAGATAATCTCATTTCATTTACATCAATCTGATATTATGTATTAACTAAAATAAATACAATTATTCCAACAGCTATTTTGACTCACTTCTTCAGCCACATACAAATATTCTCTCTTGATTCTGAGGTGTGTGCTTAAAAGTTCTATTTTCCGTTCTCCATATCCCTTCTAGTAAATAGTAGTATTGTTCTTTAAGGTCTGGAAAAACAGCAGACAAGAGTCTTTACTTAAAAGAATACACCTGTTAAAATTAGCCTTTGCCCATTAATATGGTTTCCAGATACTGTCTGGTCTTTAGACTGTTACATATATGACAATATATGTACATTATATATTCCTGCTACCAGTAGAGAAAACATGTCCAGGGCTCAGAGTTTGGTGTATGGAACTTCACTTCTACCAAGGCCAAATCACGAAATTGCTCCTGGCTCTAAACCTTTAATCCTTCAGTGTCCAAGTTTTGTATTAATAAGAATGTGTGTATTTATACATAAATGAATGTTTAAACAAGAATCCCAGTACATACAGATGTTCCTGGTAATGCCTTTTCACCTGACAGTAGTATCCTAGCATTTATCTACATTTTCATTCTGCTATCACTGTTCCATGGAATGAGTCCATGGAATGGAGACATCCATTCCACTGCTGAGACAATTAGATGTTCAGTCCAGAGTACTGGACTAACTCTAACATGCAGAGTTAGTCCTAAATATTAAGTATCTTTGATGCTATTATAAATGGCTTTTTCTTATTATTCTATTAATTTTCTTACTGTTAAAATTCTCTATTCTGTGGTATGAGGACTCACAATTAATTTTGAAAAAGATTCTGTAAAAGTTTGCTTTTACATGCAAGATACATAAAAACCTAAGAATATTACCAAATATCAACTTTTAAAAATGTTCTTTATTTAATATACAGAGCCACATAATCCTCAAAATCCAAGCTGGTAGCTCATTACCATGTCAGCTCCCTAACCCATATGTACACTTGTTAGACAAGGGGACAAAACAATACTGTGCAATGTTTTCATAGTTCCATGATTGAGCAACTGGCATCGAGTGAGTGTTGACAAACTCCCTGTTCCACTCAGAACAGCCACTCGCAAAGAGAAGAAGCTGGCAGCAAAGAAAAATGTCCTGCCCGGTCACTGAAAAGCGCTGAGGGCACTTCGTGATGGGAGAAATGCTGCTTAGCAGGTACATCACCTGGACGTCAACCCAACTGATCCACAGGCTGCGGCTGCACCTCAACATCTGGAGCGGAGTTCTACAGTTAACTGACAGTCACATGCAAATGCTTGCGTCTGCTTCTCAAAGCACTTGCTTCATTTTTTTAGGTAGTGTTTGGTGTACAGAGAATGCGCGCTCACTTCTTTTTCTCTTTCACGATGCTTAGTGGGACTGTGCAATGCTGGAGCAATAGTCCAGAATGTCCTGAATAGTGAATTCCATTGTCACCCCAGATCCAGGGTAACAGCGAGCTATCAAGCCCTCGAAGTGCTTGTACTGCTGTATAAACTCTTCTTGCATGGAGTGCCACACCACCTATTGCAAAACAGAGAGTAAAGCCAAACAGTGAGGGGAATTGATTACATAATCACAATGGACAACAGAATACAAGGCAGAATCTAAGAATTTGGCATAACATGGTTTAATGGACATGCACTCTGAGCCAGCACCCTCAGTCCTTTTACTTAAAAGATCTGTGGCCTCAAGTATATACCATTAGTCCTGTGGGCACAGGTTCCTATCTGTAAACAAGGCATGGAGAATTACACTCTTCCCTCCTTATTTAAACAAGGGGATAAAGCAAAGTGCTTAGGATAGGTCTGGTATGAGCAAGCGCCCATTATGTGTTAGTTGTTATTACAAAAACTCTAATATCCATAATAGATGTAACTTTGCACAATTATGTGTGGAATCAAGACCATCGTTCAGGAAGGGTAATACTTAACATTTAAGTCCATTTCAGACAATTTTTTTTTAAATCTAAAAGTGATAGCATAAAACACTGCTTGATACTGTGGAGGGAGACAGGTTTACTACCTGCAGCTCTGTGACTAATATCCTAGCCATGGAGGCAGACAGGTGGATAGTCTCAAGACAGAACTCCACACACACAATGACGCCAGCACTTGGATTCGCTGAGGTCTACTCTGTACCAGCACAGTACGAGCCTCCCACAGTCCTGGTGAGAGAGGACTATGACGTATCTGCACATGTCAACTGAGGAAAGGTACTCTTCTAGGATTTTCTTGTGGACCTCCTAAGTCTCCACTCCTGTCCATTTCAGACCAGTCACTAACCCCACAGCATTACACTTTTTGCTCTTCATAATTTAGCTCAGGCTGTTTCTCCAGTGAGCATCACAGCTCCACTCGTTAGCAAGAGTTTTCCTTTGGGAAGTAAACACACAGGCAGCATCGCGGGTGAGTGTTCCTACAATGCTGAAATTAGAATTCTCCTCCTCCTCCTCTGGGCCTTTCGGCATGGTTTTAAAGGAACACAGTTTCATCCCGCCAAATCTGGCCCCACTGCACATGCACTAGGCTTGCTGCCACGTTAGTCGGCCTCTCTAAGTGCTCACTTCATGGAACAAAGTAGCGCCCGTCAACTGTCAAAGAAGGACAGTTGAAGCTTGGCCCAATTGCACAGCTTAATGTGGGTCCAGATTACAGACCCACTCCTAGCTCCAACCCCCACGCAGTGCCAGCGCACCACACTACCCAACCCTGCACTTACAGTCACCTGAAACACAAAGACAAGGAGACGAAAACTCAGTCAAACACACAACGGCTTACCTTAGGAAAATACAAACGTTAAAGCAGAGATGCTTACATAACGATTCCTTCCGTCCTTACAACTCATCTCCCTGGTCCGTGCTTTATGGAGTTTTCATTTGTCTTTACTTTTGTTTTGCCTTGCTTAGGCAGGGTCTTATGTAGCCCAGGCTGGCTTTAAGTTCACTATGTGGCCTAGAATGGCCTTGATCTCTTGATCCTTCTGCCTCAGCCTCCCAAGTGCTGCGGCTGCAGCTGTGTGCTTACTCAGCTACAGAACTTTTCTCAGGCACCAGAACCAGAGCATGTGTAGGCTCAATGGAGAGAAGCAGGGGCCTCGGGGCCACACAGGCGAGAGACCGTGCCTACCTGCAGTAGGTTCTCCTCTTCACACAGATGCTTGTCAACCTTCTTGTAGAGGTTATCCAGGCCCTTCTTCACCTCCTTGCCAGGGTACTCTTTGATGACTTTGCGAAGCTCTTGTTTGTTGAATGCTAGCTGGTAGCTCACTTCCTCCTCCCGAATGCCCTGGGCTACTCGGGCTTCAACGCCTTCAAAGAAATGCTTCAAGGAGATGAAAATGAACAATGGCTAAGAACTCATTTTATTATCACTAGAAGTTTTTAAAAACCAGATTCAAAAGTATGTAGGCGAATGTAAGTTAAAATATCATCTATTACCATGCTACTCAGTGGTAATTGGAGCTAACATTTTGGACTTCCTTCTATTTCTTTAATGTGGGTATACAAAACTATAATCTCATATGCTACCATGTTTTCTGCATTTTCCATTTCATATGCTTATAGACTCAGGGTTTCTCTGTCTCTCTCTTTTAGCCTCCTAAGTGTCGGGATTATAAACATAAACCATTATACCCAGCAAAGCCATCATTTCTTAATTTTTGTATTATTTACCACTTGCAGATAGATGACTCAAGTCAGGAAAGAAAGGAAAGGCAATGTACAAAATAATTTTGTGCATATGTATGCATGTATGTGATGTATGTGGGTGCATGTGGGGGCCAGAGGTTGACATCAGGTTGCCTTCTTCAGTTGCTTCTCTACCTTAGTTTTTGAAGCAAGATCTCTCACTGAGCCAGGAACTTGCTGTTAGGGCTGCGTTTGTTGGCCAGCCAGCACCTGGGATCTGCCTGCCTGCATGTCCCTGAACTGGGGTTAGGGCATGCTTTTATGAGGGTGTGAGAAGCCCCTGAACCATTTCTCCTGTCCTTTTATCTTATTTTATGAATGTGATTTATGCATTATTACTTTGTGACAGAGTTCTGCTAAGTTGCCCAAGCAGGCACTGAACACGATTATGACCCTCGTTTCAGCCTTCCAGGCAGTGAGGATTATAGGAGTGTCTTCCACACCCAGGTATATCACTGTTTGCACAAATTAAATGAAACTACGTATGTATAACGTTTATGAATGTCTGGCATGTTGGCAGTTTCAGCAACCAAGTCCTTCATCCTCATTCCCCATATTCTGTCAGTACACAGAATATTTGTGATAAGCGTCTGTTATTCTTATGTAAACTGGTGCGTATGGATTCAAGACCAGGGAAACACTGGCGAAAACATATTTACGTTTAGTTTTTCAAGAGGCTGTCCTAAGGAATAGATGACATAAGACTGAAGATGATCAGTGTACTTCTGCTTGGCTTCTTTTTTCTCAGCTTCTAGACATGAGATTTTCAAACGAGAAAGAGTTGCAGAAATATGATGAAAGTTTTCCATCATAACCACATCTCTTGGGGTCTTCTGGCTTTCATTTGCTACTTTCTCCACTAAAATCAAAGCAGAAAAAGAAAGAAAAACTTCTCTGATATGAGTCTAATGATTTGGGACTAAACACAGTATTCTGCATCTCAGGGTCCTTACAACCCCCCGAAACAGTAAGTCATTTTCACAGAATACCACACACATGTGGAAATTCAGTATGGAGTAAAGGTGACTTTTCAGATCAGCGGATAAATTATGAACTATAACTGATGTTAGGACAACCAGATGATTCACACATCATGGCTAGATTCTAAAATGTTCAAGCACTAAAATATAAAAAGCAACAACATGCATAAGCACCAAGAAAAATGATCTAGTTAAAAATCAAGTTTTGTGATAGCATGACCTTCTAAAGAATGAATCTAACATAGGAGCTGAGAAAAAAAAAGTGACACAAAATTTGAAAACCCCTACAAGGACACCATGAGCAAACTCATGCCCAGTGAGTTGAGTGAGATCATCTAAACCTACTGGTCTGGCAAAAGATAAGACTGACAATAGGTAGTAATGTCCAGCACGGCTAACATAGAGAGCAATGAAACTTTCACTGTATGCTCAGAGCACTCAACTGGCATAAGCTCAATGCACCAGGATTGAGCAACACCTTGACATATACATAAACCTTCGAACCACCAATTCCAATTATAGCTGGAAACAAGCTATGGCATATTCAGTAAGCAAACAGTGATCTATAGAAGACCATGTGGTCATTAAAGTGATTATAGGTACTGAAATAGTTAGTATTGTCAGCTTGACAGAATCTAGATTAATGTGAGAGATGAGCCTTGGTACATGGCCTTGATTACATTAACTGAGGTAGTCAGAACTGCCCACTGTGGGTGGTACCATTCCCTAGGCTGGGAACCTTGGACTGTATAAGCATAGAGAAAAGAAAGTGAATACTAACATGCATGCATTCACTGCTACCTTGTTCTGACTGTGGGTGTAATGCGACCAGCTGCTTCCAGCTTCATGACCTAACTTCCCTGGCATGATGTACCGTACCTGAACTGTGAGTGAAAATTAAGTATTTTTTTCTTAAGCTGCTTTTAAATCAGGATATTTTATCAAAGCAGGAGGGAAAAAACAAAAATAAAAACAAACAAACAAACAAAAAAACCCCAAAAAACTAAGACAGAAGCCTGTATCAACTAATAAGGAAAGACAACAGGATTATGGAGTTAAGGAGTTCCAGTGAATGGAAACTTACACCCTAAATTTGTATTACAAAATCATATACAAAATGTGAGAGACAGAGAAGGGCATGGAAAAGTATGTAAGTAGAAACATTTAAAAATTGAATAGGAGGTTGAATTGTGTAATAGTGCATGTAACATCTTTTGTGAAAGCAATTTTTAAAAGTCCATTTTCTAGTTTTGTGAGTGCATATTAGCATTTATTATTTTAAGCATAAGATAAAACAAAATTATTTTTATTAGGTATATGTATGTGTCCATGTTTCTGTGTATTCTCTATTGTACATGGTTTTCTATAGATGCCTGTGTAGACCAAAAGATGGCGTCAGATCCTGAGTTAGAGTTACAGTTGTAAGCAACCTGATGTGGGCGCTGGAAACTGAACTTGCAAAGGCAGTATACTCTCTGAACTTTAAGATAGCTTGCCAGCCCCCCCGCTATACTATTTAAAACTTAAATACTAAGCACTGATCATGAAATTTATCTATCCTTTTTCTAGGCTTGCTTTCACAAAAAAATGTTACATGCAATATTACATAATTCAACCTCCTATTCAATTTTTACTTTTAAAATCACTTAGTGTAAGTAATCAGACAATTTTTAATTAAATAACATGTCTCAAAATGTTTCTAACTAAGTGGGCTCTCACACAGGCCTGCCCAGCACCTTTAGAAGACCCCTGTTAAAATGCAAATGTACCCCTCAAGGTCATTTCTATATTTTTAAAAATGGCTTTCAATTGTGCACAGTAATAGGGCCCTAGGAGCCTAAGGCAGGAGTGGCTCTTGTCAGCTTGGGAGCTGCTCGGTTTTCACATTTAAGAGATGCTCAATATTGGACGCATAACAAGACTACAGACTACTGGAAACAGGGAGCCTGTCTGCACCCAGCAACAGTTACCCAGAAACGACGAAAAGAGCCCTAACATTCTCTAGAGCAAACCATAAAATCTCACCATTAACAAACACTCCTCTGATTAGTTTGGTATATGCTTTGTCCAGATCGCCACGACGTTCGGCATTTTTGAAGATTGATTCTGCCAGTCCAGCAAATTCTTCAAATTCAGCAACAAATGGAAGAATTCCTACTTTACTTTTCTTTGAGATCTTTACTTCTTCCATTTGTCTTATTTGGTTACTCTGAAGTTACACAGAAAGCAAGGGGAGAAAAAGTCACATGACTTAGAAACCACTCACATCTAAATGCACAATCAGTGTCTAGTGCTTGTTTGGAACTGCAACCAATGGGGATACTGAAGAAGACCAGTCTTTTGGATGGGCATTCTATATTGTATTTTATTTAGAAAACGAAAGAAGAATTAAATTTACTTAAAAGATGTTTCAATCAAATCTGTGTTCCAACTAGAAGCAGTACATATTTCTATCTTTCAGGAAAGTCAGGGACAAGGCAGGGACTCATTAGAGCGAGAGCAGAGCTGAGGCCTAGGTGCATAGGATGTCCCCAGTTGATTTCTGTTTGTGGCCATGTGGCTAAGTTGAAAAGTGTAACCACTTTCAATTCCTACTTATCTAAAACTTTTATTTAGACAAATTTTTTTGGGGTAACAATACCAGAGAAGGAAGACACAAATTTCTATTATGGAGTTGCATGTCATCATTCTGAGAATCCAGCTATGAGGGCCCAGAAAGATCTGTAGATTCAAGTATGATTCGATGTTCTTCTCAGGGGGTCTAGGTCCACTCACATAAGAATTACAGTCACATTAGTTTAATTTCTACCTTAAATTTCAGTCTTGAGGTTGGGGGAGTAGATGCTGAAAAACTGCATGGCATACGGATCAGAGGATTAGATAGTGGATTCTAGATCGCAGGTATTTGAGTAAAAAGCTCTGTGAGCTCTGTCAATGACTTGGTCTTGTCCTTCCGAATGATCGGCCTCCTCAGCATTAACAAGCTTGCAGAAGGGCGGACGCAGAAGGCAGCAGAGGACTACAGTGCTGCACCAGGCCTGGAGGGTCTGCACGGCAACCTGGCCACTTTTTAACTGCTGATTCAGCAGAGTAACTCCGCCTCTTACACACACATCACCTCCCCAAGGTGGTGGTAATGCAGGATCAGATGGACTGGGAAACCTGCTCAGGCCTATGCCAGACTGCTGTGAAGTACACAGACACGAGGCACTAATTCTCTGCCAGGCAGAATGAACAGTGCCTGGATGACTTTCAGCCGTGTCGCTCACCCTGCTATCCCAGCCTGTTAGCTCTTCCTTTCCCTCCAAGTGTCCTCCAGGAGTAAGAAGCTCCTAGTTTGTGTTGTATATGCTGGGGAAGAGCCCAGAGCCTTACACGTGGCAGGCAAGCCCCGGTTCACTGAAATATGCTCCCAATCCAGAGAGTGCTAAGTTCTTAAGTATAAAAAAAAGTGTCATGGGTTTTAATTGCCCTTAATATTTTCACCTGTCATTATTATATGGATATTTAAGAATTAGCTGTAACTTAGAAGCTATCTAAGAGAAACATCCAAATGATAAAAATCCAAAAGCACATTAACAAAATGAAAGTGTTGTAAAAACCAGGCTTTGCACTATTCATTCCTACAAACTGCCAAAGCCTAACAGGAAACAATAGAGCTACTCACACTGCTGCTTAGGAGGGGAGGACATGATGACTGCCAGAAGCTATTAGGGGCGGGTCTCTCTGTGTAGCCCTAGCTGTCCTGGAACCCTACAGGTAGACTAGGCTGACCTCTGCCTTGAAGTGCTGGGACTAAAGCCAGGTGACAGCATGCCCAGTAGCAACTGATCCTTAAGAGAAAGAAGCACGATCACTAGACTTTGTACACTATTAGTTAAAATGAATTATAATAATGTCAACTATCAAAGTTAATTTCACTAGAGAATATGGAAATAATAAATCCAAATACCTTTCCATTGTTTCATTAAATCAAAAGTCACAGATCCCTCAGGTCACTCAGCAGCAGCTGTCCCTATGCCGTATACTGCAGAATTTGCATGTCTCAACAAGCCCTCCAACTTAGTTGTTCAGATGGGCAATTGCTACCTCCCTACCTCACAATTTTGGGGGGTATGAACTGTAGACCCTGGATTAAATAAATTAGCCATTTTGCACAACAACTTGTTCTTGACTTAATTTTGACAACTTACAATGCATTTGTCAAAGTTCCTCTTCACAGTCACCAAAACATTTCCCAATGTGGTACTTAGAAAAGAGGCAGGGTCCACATTTTGTGCAGTCCACACATGATGACTCATTTTGACTAGCATGTAAAGAGAGTTAAAGCTGTCAATTTTGTCTCCTAATGCAATTAAGTTGTTCAGTTCTGGTTCAATGCAACGAAATATTTTGATCATCATTTGGCGAATCATATCTTTCCTGTTCATAAAGCAAGAAAAAAAATATATAGTTAGTATAGACTTCAGCTGAATTCACCTTTAATTGTAACTGTAATTTACTCTATAAAAATACAGCTAAAACTAGTACTGCAACTAAAAGTGTCAAACTATGATGAACTGTTCTATAGCAATTTTGAATATAAAAATAGCTCACTGAAAGTAAGGTTTGTCATTCCAATTAGCTTTGCTTTATTTGTAAAGCTGGGCGCTGAACTGTCTTTTCTATCTTTAAGAAATCACTGCAGCTTGAAGCCTACTTTCTAGCATCAGACACTGGCACTGACTGATGCCCCTGTGATCATCAGACAGAAGAGTTCCCCAGCCCACAGGCAGGACCAACAACAGTTCCTAGTAAGACAACGATCACCTGTGATTAGTATTGTCAACTTGACAAGATCTGGAGTCATCCAGGAGACAAGACTCCACGTATGGCTGGAAAGATTATCTATGCTAGATGGCTTCTGGACACACTGGTGGCAGGTCATCTTGATTAGGTTAGCTGCATGGGAAGGTCTGTGTGCTGGGGGGTCACCGTTCCCTGGGCTGCATTCTGACCTTACTAAAAGGAGAACATGAGCTACATACAAGCATTCCTTGCGCTCCTCTTCCTGACAACTGAGGGAACATGACCACATACTTCAAGTTCCTGTTGTCTTGATTTCCCCACCTGAACTGTGGGCTGAAACAGACCCTTTGCTTTTATTAGGAATTTTCATCATCATAGCAACAGAAACGTAGGTAGGATAAGCACACAGGTCTGTGTGGGTACCTGAAGGCTGCTTAGAACCCTGTGGACATTTCAATGAGAAACCCTTCCTTATGCCTCAACGTTTACTTTTTCCAGAACAAACAACAGAGAATAATAAATACATACTCAGATGAAATAGGCAGCAGTGTGCCAGAACTATGCTGCCGTGACAATGAGCCTCCATCCAGGTCTTCTGCTTCAGTCTGAAAAAATATTCTCATACTTTAATCAAAGACCAACATACTGATAAGTTTATACATAAAAAGCCTGCTACTTTAAAAAATACCTACAAGAAAATATATCATGGAAAAGAGTAATTTTTTTTTACTATTAAAGCAATATAATATTGTATGCTCTTTAAGAAAGTTTCATGAAATGCATTGTTCTTTGATGTAAAAAACTGATTTGTTAAGTGTGCACACATAAGTGCCACAGTGCGCTTTCATTTTTCACTGTTATTTGAGTTCCAGGAATTGAACTCAGGTCATCAGGTTTGCTCAGCAAGCATCTTTACCCACTGACCCATCTTACCAGCCTGTTTTTAGATACTTCACAACCCCCAAGAATCACTATAAGGTAAAAGGTTTTATTTGTCCATGTGTATATGTGGTGTGGTTTAAAAGAGGAAGAGAGAGTGCATGAGGCCAGATGTAAAGAGAGTTCAGCGCATGCGCGCATGCACACACACAGACAGGAAAACATCCAACAACTCTAGAATGAAAACTTTAGCATTGAAAAAAAATGCTGTCAGACTTGAAGATGGCTCAGCAGCTAAGAGCACTGGCTGTTCTTGTGAAAGACCCAGGTTAGATTCCCAGCATCCCCATGGCAGCTCACAACCACCTGTAAACTCCAGTTCCTGGCCATCCTACAACCCTCTTCTGGCTTCCCTGGGCAATGCACACATGTGGGGCACAGACAGACATGCAGACAAAACATGAATACAAATAAACTAATAAGAAAACATGAACACATAAAAGCTGTTATAAATTCCTCTGGAGCTGAGCACGCAAACTTAACCACCACTCTTACTACCAGGAAAGACAGACTCTGAACAATAATGAGTTCCTCATTCATCTATGGCGGCTTTCAAAGTTGGTTGCCCAAGGCATAATGTTTTGAGACACTCATTTGAATTGTGGTTTTTAGTTCTTCATTTCATTCTCTTACACTTAAGCCTTGAAGGTATGCTGAGGAATGGCTATGTTCATATTACGCAAGTGGGGACTGGGGATCAGGGCTGCCACTACAGTGTCTAACTGCTTATCTGCAAGTCCCCAAGACAAAATCTGACTCAACGCTGATGCCACATTCCCCTGTTTATCACTGTCTCTTAGGTTGGATTTTTTTCTTTGAAAACACTAAAATATTAAAATTGGTATGATTTCTGTTTTTTTTTTAGATCTGATATTATGCATCCCAGGCTAGCCTGGAACTCATGCAATCTTTCCACCTAAGTTTCCCAAGTGACTATAGACTTGGGCTAGCACATCCTGCTTAAAGTTGTGTTTTGAATGATGTTCTCTACATAATAAACACATACATTTCCTTTCTTATTAACTTAGAGGTTGTCAGCCTAAGACATTCTGGAATATTAGAAATCCAAAACCAGGTACTTTCCTGTTCTCAGTATTTTGTGAATGAAAAGAATACTTAAAGATTGATTTATTACAAATCCTTCCCATTTCATTTAGACACTGAAACTGTAAACTCATACTATCATAGTAACTAGGTTAATTTTATGTTACAGACTGTAAATACTGTCCAAATAAAGGTAAGCCATACCATTGATGCAGACATGTTTTGATGTTGCTGTAGTTTGAAAAATTTACTTATGAAGTCTTGTTCTGCCAGACACAGGGGCTCCAGCTCACTCAGTACCTGTTCAAAGATCTGAAGAAACCAAAGGACCCAAGGATTAAAGAACCACATGGAACACTTAAACAATACTCCATGTTGAATTCACTTTTTGGCAAGGACACAGATCATAGTATGAATAATCTATTAAGTCTAGGCTCTCCCAATTATTGCCAAAGATAAACTTTCCCAAGACTGATAGAGTAATACAATACCAAAGTGAAACAGATATAAAAACCCCCACAGTTACTCACTTCAAATCTGGAAAGAGGAAGACAGACTTTGAAACGTGAGGCATCAGAGCTGCAATAAAGCTGTTACACTTGAGCCTGTCATTCCTCAAACAACTTACATGTGATTTTATTTGAACATCAGATATCTAACAAGTAAATGTTAATGAATATTTTGTTATCTAATTGCTAAGTCATACTTTAGCTGACTCTTGGACTGAGATTATGTTTCAGATTGAAGTCAGAATTAGAAGAACACGGTCATGACTTTAAAAGATGTTCCAAGAGCCCAAATCTCTGGAAGCACTGAAGCAAGCCTGAGGCGAATGCTAAGAATCGCCTGTTATTTTACCTTATCAAATTTGGCTCTGTCAGCGACATCAAGGTCAGAGGCGGACATGTTCCCCATGTCCAGCAGGGAGGAGGACTGGGACCTGCGATTGCCGGAGCTCTGGACGCTCAGTTTATTCAGACTAGAAGTTGACCCGGTGAGTTTCCCAGAGCTTCCATGGAGACCTAAGAAACAAGAGAGCTTTGAAAGCTGTGTCTCAGGAATAAAATTCCTACAGTCTGCTTTGTAGAGCCTTGGTCTTCCAGGATTTCTTTTCTACTACGAAGCTTGCAGAGTTCTTCCCATTCATTAACTCTGGGGTCTTACTGCAGAGAATATTGTATGGAAGGAAGGCTACACGTATTGCTGGACTAGGAAGAAAAGGACCTTACTGACTGAACAGTCTATGCCCTGCCCCATCGCATCCTAAAGGTAAAGCTATGCAGTGCTCTCACTGAATACTTTGCTATCACTACAGCTGACACAACTCTGTGATATTCCTAAAGAAAACCTACAGCTGAGTATTAATCATCTCTAAACACCAATCTGTTAAGTTGAACTACATGAAACGATCGCTTGACAAATTTTCCCATAAAACTCAATCATTTATGATTAAATTTAGTATGTTCCTAAGTCTAGAAACTCTTGCTTTTCTGAGTAGGTGAGCTGGTTAACAATAGGGACAGATGAGAGCATGTGATATCTTTAAAATGTAACAGCAATGTAGCATATCACTAGCCAAACGAGTACGAGACATTTGTGCTTGGGTAAGATTTCGGAATTCCTCACGGCGATGGGGAAAGTGAGAACCTACAGCTGAGCAGCAGCCCCTATACACTAAGGAATTAATGCTTTGTTCTTTTTCCCCCTTCATTTATTTATCTTACTCACTTTACATCCTTGTAGCCCCTTCCCTTTTCCCCTTCTAGTCTCACCTTCTCTCCTTCCCCCTCCTCGGTTCCCCTCCCTTTTTCCTGAGAAAAAGGGAATTCCTTTCCCATCCAGCCCAGCTCATCAAGCTGCTTCAACACTGAACCTATCCCTCTCCCCCCCTGGTCTGGCAAGACAGCCCCGCCAGGGGAAGGTGATCTAAATGCTAGCAAGTGAGTCCCTGTCTGATGCAGTCTCTACCTCCCTTACTAGAGGACCCACACAAAACCTAAGCTGCCCATCTGCTACATCTTTGTAGGGGAGGTAGGTCTAGTTCATATATGGTCCTTGGTTGATGTTTCAGTCTCAGCAACCCCCCCGGGCCCTGGTTACTTGGTTCTGCTGTGTTTCTTGTGGAGCTCTTGTCACTTCCGGGTCCTTTTCTCTTCCCTCCCACTATTCCCCAAGACTCCCTATGTATCAACCAATGTCTTGGCAACTGTTTTGAGGTGCTGCTGGGTAGAGCCTCTCAGAGGACAACTCTGACAGACTCCTGTCTGCAAGCTTAGCAGAGTATTGTTCATAGTGTCAGAGGTTGGCACTCTTTGATAAGGTGGGTCTTTGGTTGGGCCAGGCATTGGTTGGGCATTCCCTCAATCTTTGCTCTATTTGATCTATCTTTATTCCTGCACAACTCATAGACAGGGTAAATTTTGGGTCAAAGGTTTTGTGGGTGGGTTGGTGTTCCCTGCCCTTTACTAGAAGACTAGTCTAGTTAGAGGGTGTCCTCTTCAGTCTCTTTGGTCTCTGCTACTAGGAGTCTCTGCTTGAATCCCCCTCATATACTCCCACAAGCCTATCCTGACTTAGGTCTCCAGTTTGTCACAGAGATGTCCCCACCCTCAGTTTCTCTTTTCTCTACAGGCTCTCTGTTCTCTCACCCTCGCTCTCCTCAGATCTGATCTCCCCCCTCTTAACTCTCTGTGCCCCTCTCTTACCTTGTTCCCTCTCTTCAGTCACTACCTATGCCTATTCTATCTCCCCTCACGTGTTAGAACATATGTTTAAATTCAGAATACAAACAATAAAACACTTTAAAAACCACACTTCTTGAATACTGCTCAGTTAATTCGTACTAATTACTAATGGACAGAAAGGAAAAATAAAGTTATAATAGGGACAATTCAAGCTTTGGCCTCATTATACAAACCAGTACTGGACCTCTAAGACTTTTTTCTACAATTTATTTTTATTATTATTTTAAATCACGTGTGAGCGTGTGAATGTGGGTATATGCATGTGAGTGTGGGCATCAGCAGAAGCTGGAGGTATCAAATCCCACTGGAGCTAGAGTGACAGGGGGCTGTGAGCAACCGCGGGTGGGAGCTGGTACCGCCCTCAGGTCCTCTCAGAGCAGTATATACCCTTAACTACTGAGCCATCCCTCCAATGCCCTAGAGTAACAGCTATAGCTCCTCTAAACACAGGCTGTGACACAAGTGTGATGTTAAGGTTTTTCATACATTTCTGACAAGAAAGCTTTTGCTCCTCGCTGTGTAACTGTAACCACGTCACTTATTTCTTGGATGTACACACAACCACCATGCTGGGTTTCTTTTTTCCAATACCTGGCGATTCGGTGCAATCAACATATCTGCTATTAATGTTTTCAAGACAAGTAATTAACATCTAGACATTAACAAACATGCACTGAGGGTGCCTGCTAGCACAGTAAGCATACTCACTCTCGGTTTCCTGTTTGACAGCACTTTCTTTTCGAGGCAGTGTAGCTGTGATGGATTAGGTTGCAAGCATCAAAGACAAAGACAAGTTAATAAACTGCAATTTGCACAAACCATGCACAAGAGGCAGTTAAAGCTCTAGTTTAAAAGACACATGCAAAGAACTATGAGCACTGACTAACGAGAGGTGCAAACACACGTGTAATCGCCCAGTGACTGTTAAGAAGGTATAAGAGACGTTTCATAGTCCTTTAATGTAGGGACTTACATTTTCAGGAAAAATATCAGTGTTTAAACCTTTCCCCCCACCTTTTTAAATGTACGGGACTGTTGTTTTAGTTTAGGAAGTTGGTACACTTACATTTAAAAGAATAAATTTACAAGGCTTTGAGTCCTGAGAAAATGAAGCTCAAGTAATTTAATAAAGTGAAGAATGATGTGGTTGCTTTAGATACTAGCATTCTTATATCTCCTCAAAACCCCTAAAGGGAACGGACCTCCACCACACTAAACTTTTACTTTGTCTGTTAAAGATTATGTACCTGGGGCTTTAAAGATAAAATTTAAAATCAAATATCACACTGAATTACTTATAACTAGCCTATGAATACAAGATTGAATGTGGAAAAACAGCAATCAGAAGCTGTGTGGAAGAATAGTACTGAGGGACAGATTAGGTAGGGAAGTTCGAACTCTATCATGGTCATTTCACAATTCTTTCACTCTAATCTCTATTCTACATAGTATCTACAGATTAATTTTAGAACTTATGCCATAAACATTCTGAACTCAAACTCAGAAGGTGAAAGGCAAGAAGTAAATCATATACTGAAACTAAAGAATAAACTATAACCTAAAAGCATCTCACAGAGAATAATGTGTCAACTGGCAGGTACCAGGCCATACTTGAGGCAAAAGTCCAAAAAGAGCTCTGAATTGGTCATTCCAGTGCTACTACATCTTCCCAGCTTGGCCCCTGAAGCTCAAGGGGGCACAAAATGAGAAGCTAGATATGAACATGGCAAATGTTGGGACCCAAGGCTCTGAAGTGTCATTCTGCATGTTTACCTGCCCAGAGCAAAGTCTATTTCATAGTTGTTGTTTTGTTTTTTGTTTTTTTTTGTTTTTGTTTTTGTTTTTGAGCAGACAATCATGCCCCGCCACCAGTACTGCCTATTAAGTATAGTTTGGAACTTAAAACATTCTGGATTCTTTCTCAGCAGCAGATTATCCTGGAAAGTGTTAAGTATCTTTAAGTAATCTTCAGGAGATGACAAACATAGTAACAGGAGTGGCTAGGACCTTTGTTCACTGCTGTACTTCAAGGCATAAGTGTGCTTATGTGTACCATGAGAATTTATAAATTCCCTGAATCACTCTTCCACCAGGTCTTGAATCTAACCATGTATTCAACTACTTTTCAAATCAAAAGCTTACTTAGTTTAATTGATAATTAAATAATTAATTGATAATTAGATAATTTCAGGAACCATTTTAAAGGTTTTACAATATTAAACAGGATCACTACATATATGAAGGAACTAAAGCCTCATATATGTTTTACAAATAACTCAATTGTCTTTCTATAGTTAGCTGTATATATGTATCATATACTATATACTAAACCCAAGCTACAGCCCAACTGTAAGCACCATCGTGTCACCCAGTGACACATCTTAACGCGTTCATCTTAAGTGAGGAAGGAACAACCCGTAAAGACAGTAATTGTAAAAATAATCACTCAGTTTCCTTTGCCTCCATCACATTAAATACATTTGGAGAAGGAGATGGAAGGCTCCATCAAAGTACCAACCCCAGGAGGAAAATCCTACACCCCTGAGGAAATCAAGGTAAAACTATTCATCAAAAGAGGGGATAATTTATGTAGAGGCCTTATCACAAAGAACTGCTATCCTCTTAGCATCTTTAACCCATTTTGACAGTCTTGAAATAAGTGATGTTCAAGAAGGAGGAGGCACCCCATTCTGATGATGCCTGTTACATCATGTTCTTCCTTTTGTAAGATCTGTGATGTAGGATTCTCAGAGCCAGTTCAAAGCAGAAGCCTATATTTAAAACTATCAACTCTTGAGTCAAAAACTCTTGAGTTAAAAAGCTAACTTTCCAAATTTGAGGGTTACAGTTTTAATTACAATTACTATTAAAATTCATTTAATATAATCTGGATCATTAAAAAATCTATTGGGAAAATTTTTCTATTCTACTTGATTCAGAATTTCTGAAGTCATGTGTATTTAATTTGAATTTTACTTTTTAAATGCTAAAAGTCAAATCTTGAGAGAGGAATAAACTGCTGTTATTCTCTGAATTTAGTTTTTCTTCTCTTGTAGTTGATAACCAAAGAACTGATATTGTAATTTTCTGTGCTTATCACAAATTACTCTTATCCATCAATATTTAATAGATAAAAACAGAAAACTTATCATTTTGTTATGACATTGTTTTAAAATTATAAAATACATTCTAAATCTATATTATATAAATTAAAATATTTTAATAAGCTAATTTAAGGATTTATAGTAGAAAAGGAAAAGGCTTAAGCTTAGGATAATATGCTAATATAAAGATACTTCTGTATTTTATTTAAGTTGTATTTTTATTTCATTTATCTTACTGTGTATCCAACTTTTTTTCACACACCAAAAAGATTTCTCAGCATTAAATGGTACACTAACAAGTGATGACGAATATACTCAATGAAAACATTAAACATGTAACTGCATTAATACTGTGTTCTTTGCCCCAAAAAGGCATAACATATCCACAGTGAAACGTCAACAAGGATATAAACACACTGCTGTTTAAGAACAATTAGCCTTTAGGATGAGTTAGCATTTCTGTTTTCAAAGCCTACTGTCCCAAGACAGTGTTTTACAAAGTGTAGCATATTAACAGACCAATCCAAACCACTTCAAATGCATTAATTTGACATCTAAGGACAGTCTTCTCTGCCCTAAAGTCAAGAATGACAACAGGAGCCAGCAATCTTCGATGCTGCTGTCTGCTTCCTTTAGTTACTAAGGGCACAGGCTCCTTTCAACAGTCAATGCTAAACTCAGTGTTCTAAAGGGACTCCGCAGACACACTGAGGAGTGCACAACGTAGCCCTTAAAGGCCAGGTTTGGACTTGAGTAGGCACAGAACTCCATCCAAAGAGAACTCCAGAGATGGGTACATGCAAGAGCAGAACGTGGCCTCAGTACATCCTTTCTCAGCTTGATACTTTCACTGGCTCTTCTTGCAAATAATGTTTTTGTCCCTTTAAATAATAGGAAATAAAAAGCAAGATGGCCCAAATATATTGTTTTAGAAAAATAAGGTCCAATCACATGGGGGATTCTGCTGCCATTTTTATATGTCATCGGTGAGAGAGAAAAGGAACACTTTTCTCCTAAAGTTCAAAGCAGCCAGTGAGAAGTAAGAAGCCAGGAATGACTTCTAGTTCTTTCTCTGTAGACAGCAATGACTTGCTCCCACCTGCAAACAGTGTTCTGGGCTCAGGAGCCAGACTCTCAGCAGTCTCCAGTGTATACCTTTCTACCGGGCTGCACTGCACTCTCTAACCTGTGCTTCCCCTATCAACAGAGATGTGGAACCACAGTACCCGTGCCTCACCGCTGCTGCACAGAAACACTACATCACCTTGGCTTGGGAAAAGCATATGGACAGATACAGATTTCTTTTCAAGCAGATTTTCTTTGAAACACCTATAAATCAAATATATTAGCTAGCCCTCCTCTTTAACTCTGTGTTTTCTCCCATCTTGTTTAAAAGCCTTTGAGTTACTGTTCTGTAAGTAGGACTACTCTCCATGAGATGCTGAACCCAGGGCTAGGCTTACCAAACTTCTTGCTTTCTTTAGTGGTGCCAGTCATCTTGATCTTTGCAACTTCAAAGAAATCTTTGATTTCTCTTTCATATAGTCGGGATAAATAATCCATGTAATTCTTAAAATAAATGGAACATGCAATGATTAGTAAACTAACTGAACAAATTTCTCTTTAATCTTCCCCTTAAATTCTTCATGCTTGTAAAGCCTTAGCATATTTCAGAGAATATAAAAAGTGAGGCTATTTTCTTTCTTGAAAAAGAAACAAAGCAAAACAAAAAGTAACATGACATTACAGTGTATAGCAATGTCAAGTTAATCACACTTACATTTTAACTATGGCTGCGAACACATGGGCTGCTAGGAGAGATGCTTCTCCTGTATCACTGTCATGGAAGCAGAGTGTTCCAGTGTGTGGGTGTACCACAGTCCAGCCACTGAAGTCATTTCAGTGCTCTCACATGACAGTGTCACAGTGAGTTCTGCATCCTCTGGGCAGATTACAGGGTCACCCGGAAGGCCCCTGGGAACCTTTCCCCCTCTCCCTTCACACTGCCATGGTACCCAACAGTGACAGTGGCAATGCGCAATGCATGTTCCCATAGAGATCTTCAGATTTCACTGAACCTTTGTCAGTGAACTTAATTAATATGCGTACAACACAGTTTTCCTAGTCATTCCAACAAGTACGCGCAGTGTATACCCCACCACGTCCTTAGAGAAACATGGGTTTGCTTATTTATTTCAGTTATTTTTGGTATTGTTCTTATGTCACTTTTTTCTTCCATTTTAAACAAAATTTGTTATTTTTCACAAAATTTCAGCAACTAAATTGGCTATATAAGGTGTGTGTGTGTGTTTACACCAAAAGCTCAAAGCAAAGGATCAAGTAACATTCCTGGGAAATGTCAATTTCATTTAAAAAGCTCATTTGTGTCATTCAAAATTACCCTCTTGTAGGAAAAAATACTCTCTGAGCAGAGAATGATGGGTAAGTCACCATGAGGCTGGTGCTCATCTTCTTCTTCACTTTAAATTTACATTCATGAATACTGCATAATATAGAAAGACAGGATAGTAATACTTTGAGAATACAATTAGGCAAAAAGCTTATTGATTACTTATTTGAATAGTCACTAGGGGCCAAAACACTGTTGGCATGAAACTCTTAAGAAGACATATTTAATTATTTAAAATATTAATATCCTAAAACTTCAAAAAGAATTTGACTACCATAAATATTTTTACTTAACTATAAATATTTTTACTAAACATACTTCCAAATCAGAATTCTGTTGAATGAAACAAAACAGCAGAGTAACACAACAGAAGAACTGCAGAACACTCAATAGACTCATTCTGAGGAGCAAACATAATCTTACCTACACCAGCAAGCAAGATCAGATGCACATAGACACGTCAGGGGATAAAAATTTGTTTTGAAGAAGATTTAAAAAATTGTGTGCACTCATACTGTATGTGTGTGTGTGTGTATGGGAGGGGTGGGCAAGAAGTTGAGAGTGAGAAAGCAGGTGGAAGTCAGAAGACAACTTGCAAGAATTGCTTTTCTCTTCTACCATGTGGGTCGTGGAGATTGAACTCAGGCTGTTGGGACTGACAGCAGTCACCATTACTAGCTGAAGATTCTCAGCAGCCTCTGGAAAGCATTTTAAATTATGGTTTGAAGATACATTTTACTAGATTTATCTTGCCTTTTTCAAAGTCTCAGTTTATGATGGTAAGGCCCTATTGCTGAAGCCAACACTTCCCTATCTAGTTGAACATACGTAAGTCAAGCTGCTGTCTAATTAGAGCCTTCACATCTACTGACTAGTGTTCATGTTCTAGAAGATACTCTGCACACTACCACAGAAGGGTAAACATGCCCCAGCTACAATCCCTGCAGTCTACAATGGTGACCTGGCTGCAAGATACGCCAGTGCAACAGTGGCACAAGTGTTGAAAGAGTGACCAACAACTCTCCCCATCCACTCCACAAGGTAGAGCCCACGCCTGACACTGCTCAAGTGGCCAAGAATCTGAGGTTATAGGCCATGGGCTGCTGTTCTGCCAAAGGAACATGGCAATAAAGTGACTCCTGTGGACATTCTGCCTTGCTCAGCCTTTATCAGTGAAGCATCCTCTTATAGAAGAGCAGAACTAACACAGAGACCCAAACTGAACAGTGTACATAGAATGTGACACTTTGGAACACTCAGTCCTAAATGGAATGTCTTTATCAAACCAGAAGATGGAGGACTCCAAGGAAACAAAGCCCCTAAATACAACAGGACTGCCACAGAATAGAACTCAGAGTCTATGGCAGCATGCGCAGGGCCTGCACAGGTCCATGCCAGACAGGTCCCAGTACTGAGATGAGCTCCCAGCACACACATTAGGTGGTTCACAACTGCTTGCAACTCCAACTCCATGAGCATCCAACATTTCTAACCTCCATAGACATGGCACTCATGTACACACACTCACACACATACACAGAACTAAAAATAAATACTTAAGTAAATGAACAAACAACGTGGCTGGGTGTGGCCACATAACCCAGTGGTAGGGGCAAGCAGAGACAGAAGGATCTTTGGGACCTGCTGGCCACCCAGCCTAGATGAAAATGAGTCCCAGGTTCAGTGAGAGACTCCATCTAAACAGCACAAGGCAGACAGCAATGGGGGAAGACACCCAATGTCTTCATCTGGCCTCTGCACAACTGCATACATAGACTCACACAGACACACACAGAGACAGACATACAGACACATACAAAAGAAAAGCAAAGAAGAAAAAGCATTGCTCATGATACGTTTGACTAAACAGACAAATATTTCAGATTACAGTATGGCTTAATCCTATTTTACACTGAAGTCAAAATTTGCTCTTTTTATCCAAGTAAATAAATGAGCACTCAGAAATTCAATTATCTTTTGCTTTGTCAAAAGTATACTATAGTATTTTAAACTTAAGGACTCACTGTAGATCCAGTAAGTAGCTGAAATCAAATTCATACCTTTGTTAGTCCTTCATATTTTCCATAATCTGTACTCTTTAGCCACTCCATCAGCTTGGCATATCGGAGTAGGTCTCTATGAAATGGATGATGATTGGGTAAAGTAAGTTCAACAGAGTGCTGAGCAAGAGTTGAACTCTGATCATGACCCTAGAGTGAGTAAATAGGTAAATAAATATGATGGAACATTTAAGAGAATACTGTTACAACAGAAAATGCTAGACGATGACCAAATGTGGTCAAGTGATACCAGAATTCAGAAAAATAAAAACTGAGTACTTACTGGTCTATTCTTATCGTCCTTTGTATCCATGGAATACTACCACCGTTACTATTCACAAACATGCATAGGTGGCACTGTGACAAAACGTCACTCACTTCATCTTTCAAAAGAGTTGAGAAGGTTGTATAAAGCTTGTCTCTTTACATCACTTTAAAACTTACTAAGCAAGTGAACTTGATACAGACTGTGTTAAGAAACATACCAAAGGAAGTCACTCCAGAGAAACTGTCCAATGTAATGAGATTCCCATTAGGAGCTATATTTTATTCAACAGATAAAAATGTGCAAGTAAGATATGAAATTTAAAGTTAATAAGGACTATAGATGGCTGCATCTTGGGCTTTCGACAAAAATTCAGAAATAATATAATTCCAATTTTTCCATTAAAGTGATGTGCTAGTCAAACTACTACAAACAACTATTTTAAACCTGACAATTTTATGTAAATAAATTAATAATAATAGTCTTAGTTACACCATATGTTTTGACTTTTGCTTTAGAAAAATATAGACTGCTGAACTATTGGCTTATTAACCCTATTTTCCAGAAGAACTCAAGATTTAGTGTGTTAAGTGACTTGCTCAGGTCACGTAGAAGGAAAGTCATAACTGGAATCTTGTTCGACAAAGCCTAACTTCTGTCTTCCTTTAAAAACATCCAAACAAAAGCAATTAATCAGAATAAAAAACTTAACTGCCAATGAGCTCTTAAGGTGTAGAGTGAGTGTGTGCACATCTCTCTGTAAATGTAACATCGTAGGTTTCTGTTGAACTAGGCATTTCTTTCTGACTCTTTAGTCAGCACCTATGATGAAGCTTAAAGGCAGTGCCTAGGAGACAAGGAGCTGCCAGATCAGATTCCATCTGAAAGTTTCCAACCAGCAAGCAAAGGCCAGCACAAGCCATAGTTACCTCAAGTCATTTTCATTCATTGGAGTTGCCTAGTCATGGCTGTTTCAGTATTTTGTGGAAACTATTAAATTTACAAAGGCTGCTGAATTGGGAAGAGGAGTTGGATAATTAATTTCTTGATAAAGTCACCTAAACATATATAATACTAGTTGAAATACAATAGTTTGATAAGCATCTTTAGTTTAAAGAATTAAATTATTTTAATTTGAAAAGATTTCTCCCTTCTAATTCACACGCTTTATTATGTATATCTCTGTTCTGCCTCTACCTCTAATTTTTCAAGGTTCATATAACATCACATTACAGAAGGCTTCTACATAATTGCACGTGTATGACAAGGTGTTCATAAATGCTACTCTTTCAGGTATCTCTTACCTAGCTGTGCTGACAGAGAGGAAGAAGGTCTCCTGTTTCACTAATGTTCCAAATACTGTGCTAACGAGCAAGGTCACACATGCTTTCATTACCCCAAATAGTCTTCTCCATTAACTTTTCTCAGTGACTCAAGACACAAAACCATGTTTTGTACAACTATTTACTCCGTCTATTTCATGTTAAGTTGCATTATTCCAAGCTGAGAAAGCTTTTAAGTCATTAAAAATCTCTCCAGGGAAGTGGAAGAATTAATCATTGACAATTGCTATTTTTCCCCTCATCTGGAATGGAACTCTTTTTTTTTTTTAAATCTCGTTTCCTAGTGACCTCATGACCAAGTTCAACAGAGACAATCTCTTTCAGTCTATGAAGCTCTTTGCATATGCTAGCTACTATGCTAAATACCTCATCATTCCCATGTCACAAACACCTGAGAAAGTGGTCTTTCACATATTATCATTACCTTTAACTATTACTGTCAAGATAGCCTGAATGTTACTAAAAGATTTAATTTTAGATAAAATGGTTCAAGAATGAGGATGAGAAATTGTAAAATTGTTTAAGTTGCTTAATTCAATCAATATTATAAAAATCATCACATGCAAAACACTAAGTATGAAGAATTTGGTTCTTCATATGCTTAAAAATGTTAAACATTTTAGAAGTGTCTATTATACATGATAGATTACTGACAACAATTACAGAATTACTGACTGCCCACTCACTGCCTTGGTACTTTAATATACAAATTTGAATCCTTACCATAACAACTCTATAATTATTATAGTTCACAGGGTATTCAGATTAAGAAACATTATATAAAAACTTGGTGAGCCACAAGATTTTACCAGCACATATATATTATGTACTATAATTTTTGTTTTAGTTTTTGAAAAGGGTCTCACTATGCAGCCTTAGCTAGCCTGGAACTTTCTATGTAGAGCAGGCTGGCCTCAAACTCATAGAAATCTGCCTGCCTCTGTTTCCCAAGTGCTGGGAATAAAGGCATGCACTCCCCATATCCAGTTAAGATACTAAAATTTTTAATGAAAATTAGCATGGAGGAGCATACTATAGGCGAACACTAGCCCAAATGAACTAGGTGCTTTTCTTACCTCTATTAAATAAGGCAGCTAAGATGGGAACTGACAGACGCACATCACCATCATATGCTAGTCAAAACCTCTCAGCTATTTTTCCCCTCGTCTGGAATGGAAATCTTTTTTTTTTTTTAATCTCATTTCCTAGTGACCTCATGACCAAGTTCAACAGAGACAGTCTCTTTCTTGCGCTTGAGACAGCCTTTTCCATCTTTGGTGACACATCCCAGGCTGTTGCAACGCTCTGGTTTTTAACATGCATCACTCAAATGTAAACAGTACATATTAGATTTTCAGAAATGGGAAGCATTCATCTTAAACAAAGCCATTAGTTTAAAAGGCAAAGAAGCAAACAGAATGAATAACTGCACATTATAAACAAGTTAAAGATGCAAAAAGGCCACTGTTGACCGGCATTTTTGATGGCTTCTAAACATGTGGATAGCATCACTGCCAACAACATTAAAAATAATAAGCTGCCAGGCGCAGTAGTGTATTCCTCAAATCCCAGCGCACAGGGAGGCAGGAGGCAGGCAGACTGCTGTGAGTTCAAGGCCAGCCTGGCCTACAAAGCTGGACAGGACAGCCAAGATACCAGGGCAGCCAAGGCTACATAGAGAAACCCTGTCTCAAAAAAACAGAACAAAACAAAAAGCTAAGAAAAATGGGAGTTTCCTATGTGATTTTTCAGTTGATCTCTTCATGAAACATTCCAGGCCCAGTGAAATGCTGAGGGAGTCTGCCCTGCTCCCTCTCCCATGCTTAGTGAGGTGGTCTTTTATTCTTACATAGCACCATCATCACAGCGGCATTCCCACGGGTATCTGTCTCCCTTCCCTAGACTCTGAGCTTCTTCAGGGCAGGATCAGCACCATTTATCCCAAAGCAATGTCTACTATGCATCTCAACCATTGACAAGTAAAAATTCAAGGATATGAGAAACAAGGAGGAAGGCAAGCAGAATGAGGTTAAATGCCTTTTTGGCCAAATGGGACATTTAAAAACTCTTACAAATACAGTTAATGGGTAGCTTAAATCAGTAAGTTAAGCTGGAAGCGTAGATATTCTGCTGCTAACTTTAGCAAACTTTATAAACATATAGAAAAAAAAATCAGAGAAGCTTGAGCCAATTTGATGTACTCACAGGAACCGAAAGAAAGTAGGACCTGTTATAGAGCTGAAGGAGGGCCTGAGTAAACTAGGTGGAAATAAAATATGATACAGACAATCGTTTTAGAATACTGCAAAGAGGAGCCAATGTTTTCAGAGAGCATTTATTATTAAGATTTCTCCTTATTTTTTTGCTTAATATGCATAACAAAATAAAGAAAAAGACGAAACCCCCACAAGAACCTAATTATAATTACTACAATATCTTGTTCAAATCCTGTAAGGTGCCCTTGGCATTATTAAAATATTGCTGCCATATCATTAATTATCACATCTCTTCCCATAGAAAACGCAAGTTTGCAACCCATGGGCCCAATCTGCTAAAATTCACAGTTGAGCTAGTTGTTTCCTTATATGTATACAATGTATTGGATTACACAGAACCTAAGAAACACTGAAAATAATGAGGTCTGAGTCTTACCTCAAAACACTGACAAATACAAGAGGCTCAGCAGTTATCATACACTGCCAATTGTATATGTAATTAATGAACTGATTCCTAAAATCAGTTTCAGCTAAAATGAACTTGATGATGTTTGTGTTAAGGGTTACCTGAAATCCAAAGTAATTCTATAGGCGCTATGCACAGATTTCAAAGTCTTAAATCGTAAGAAATATGTGAAGAAATATAGCCCCAAATGAACAAATTAAATTTTGTATGGGAATTTAAGTTTAGGGCAAAAGGACATATAAATGACCTGTGGAAATAAGTCAGTTTTAACAGTAAACTGAAATTACCTGTTGAACAAAAACATTGTTGAGATGATTGGCCAGTCTTCGGGCAAAATGCTCCCTCAGGTCACCGAAGCGCTGCTGCTGCTGCTTGACCGCCAGGAGCATGTCATGGCCTGCACCAGAACAACAGTCCCTCAGTGACTCGGCAAGGACAAAGATTCCCTCCACATCTCAAAAGAATTGCTAGGGCACAGTGTACATGTGGAGGTCAGAGGTCATCCTAACTTGGGTTCCAGTGATCCAACTCAGGTCTCCAAACAGAACAGCAAACTCCTCTTCTTGATGGACCATCTTGCTGCCTTCCCTCCATACTTAATAAACTCACCCCACCCTGAGACCTTAAGGAACTCAGAGCCTTGTTAGACTACTAGTTTTCCACTGAGCTGCAGCTCAAATCTATGCTATCCTAATGATAGCCACACTTAAGTTTTAAGGAACCCAAAGCTGTAACGGCTTATTTATCTGCTTAATAAAATTTGAGAAGGAAAAATAATAAAACACACTGGTTCTTCTTCAGTGTCACCTGGCAACAACTAGAAATGTGAATTTTAGAACCTTAGTTCAGGCCTATCCAACGTGGGGACACACCTGGTAATCTGTTTTTATGAGGCCGCTAGGTGATCTGAATGCACAATCAAGTTTTGGAACCACTGCTGGGAAAAACCGTATCTTCTGTGGCCTATGGTAACATTGATTTGTGCTTGCTTCTGCCAAAGAAACATTGAAAAATTGTGGTAGGCAGCCAGGTGGCTCTGCAGGTGAAGGTGCTTGCCACATAAACCTTGCAATCTGAGGTCAACCCCCCACACCCACACAGAGGTGCAGGAAGAAAACTGAGTCTACAAAGATGTCCTCTGGCCTCACCATGTACACTGTAATGTACAGTTGCGCCATGCACATGTGTGCACACACACACAATAATAAATAAAATTACACTTTCAAACACGATTATGGTGAGACTGCTGCATGGTGGTGCCTGCCTGTACTCTTAACACTTGCGAAGCAGAGGGATTGTAGGTTTGAGGCCAGCGGAGGCTACGCAGTGAGATGCTAACCCCCAAACGAAGCAAAATAAAAACTAGACAGATCATAATAATAAATACATGAAGGTAAAGATGTTAGAGTGAAGGAACTAAAATGAAAACGTTCTTAGAGTTAACACAAATTTGTTGGGGAATCTGTGAAACTCATTTGTGTAGCTAACAAAGTAACCCTAAATCACTTGGCCCAAGGTATTTCTTGTCAGAATTTCCAGTGTCAGTCTCAGTTCTTGGTCAGATTTCATCACAGCTACTGGACACACCTGGTCGAAGGGCGACATTCATGCACTGCAGAAGGGCATCAGCAGCGTTGGTGCAGGCCTCAATGCCTTTGGAAGAAGCAAGGTCTCCTTCCTGAAGAGCCTTTATATGACCTTTGGCCAAGTCCATGTGGTTCTGGAACACATTCAAACATACCACTTGCACATGTAATTGGGGGGAAAAAATACTGGCAGGACCTATTCAATCCTATCACTCAGTCCTGTAATTACTTTAAATCTTAATCTCACAAGGAAGTGGATGAGTTTTAGGTAACATCGCTAGTCTTCCTGCCTTTGCTCTGCTGGTAATCTATGGAGATGCTCACCACGAGGAACTCTATCTCTGACAGGAGTTTCACATTATTCGTGTTACTGAGATGAATCAGGTGGTTGCTTTCAGAGATCTGATCCATTTGCTCTTTTACACTTTGGAGCATTTCTTCATAGCTGCTCAGTTTCAATTCAATCTGATCCACCTCCTTCAGGGCCTCATCCAGCAACTGCATCAGGATGTTCACTTGTTTTTCAGAGGCCATGATTGATTGAATGTTGGCCTACAAAGGAAAGAAGACTGTAACAGTTCATGCTGTTTAAATGCGGAAGGGAAGCACAAAGGCAAAATGCTGCCAGATCTCTTTGCATCTAGCCAATCAGTTTCTGGTTCACTTTCTACACTGTGTTCTTGGAAGGCTTACTTGCTGCTGTATTAAGGTTTGAGACCATGCCTCAGAAACAGTGCAGAGAAATCAGAGGGCTCTGTTCTAAAACCTGGTTAGCAGCAAGCCTTAGATCCTTTCCCTTTCTCACCACGCTTACTCTGCTCCCCTTTGGTACATGATTTGCTCATTTCAGCTGCTTTTCTATTATTTTAATTTGTACTTACTGTGTGTGTGTGGTTTTTGTTACAAAAATAACAATGCTTATTCTTTGGTAATGAACTACTCAGAGCCTAGGAGAATTAAACCCCTGGGATGGTATCTGGTTGTCTACATTTTTCTTCCACCACTGCATATTAAGAACATTCCAAAATCTAAAACTTAGCCAAATGTCTTCACTGGAAATGCTTGTGTATGTGTGTATGTGTGCCTGCATGTGATATGTAAATACGCATTTGCAGGTGTGTATGTGAGCGTGGATACCAAATATAGTGTGTCTTTCTTAACTGCTCTCCCCTTATTGTGACAGGGTCTCTCACCTGAGCCCAGGGCTCCCTGATTTGTCTAGTCAGCTTGCTCCCGGGACCCGCTACCTCTGACTTACAAGCATTGGGGCTATAGAAGAGCTGATATGCCCACCCAGTGTTCAGCCACTCAGCTATATCCTTAGCACCTGGCCCTATCTTCTCAACAGCTAATAACCAGCTTGCAAAGACAGCAGTAATCCCACTGTAAAAGCTGAAGTGCCGAGGCAGAACACGAGAGCACCACAAGCCTTCACAATCCGCTGCACCACTCAATCACAGCTCGCCAGTTCTTACCCCATCTAGCACTTGCAGCTCTCGCGACAACTTCTCTGCAAAGGCTTCAGCGTTGGAGATGGCATACTCGCAGCCTTCTACCATGATTTCAATATCCTGCTCTTCTCTTGCGTTTAGCTCTTGGTACTCGTCTCCTGCTTCCTCATCCCCTCCTGCTACACTTTGATTTTCTCCACTTGGGACAGATTCTTAAAGGTAGAAATGTAAGGAAAGAAAGTTGTCAAAAAATGGGAAGAGCTGTAACATGGAACTTAAAAGTGATAGCTAGTTAAGACCAATTATAAGCACAGGACACATGTAGTGGCTGAAGGATAGAAAAGAATGATTCAGAATATTTGAAAAAAAATCTCAAACTTTACTTTCATACAAAACCACAATGTAACTGAAGTGGGGTTCTAAAAGCAACAGGAAGCATGCAGTCTAGTATGTGCGCTGTCTTCCAAGTGTTAAAACGGGCTCTAGTCACAATCTCTCAAAGCACAACTCCACTAACACAGAAAGCAAGAAGTGGGCCTAATTCTCTTTTCCCCGCTGGAGGTGGCTGTTGCTCTAACAAAACAGCAACGAATTGTGAACATGGAAAACAGTTTTTTCAGTTCTTCCCAGGCAGCATTTACCCTTGTTTTTTTTGCTATTCCCCATCTCTTTTTCTCTCTCTCTCACACACGTTTCAAATAACTTTTAACTGAAGTGAGAAGTGTTTGTATTACAAGAAATTGTAAATACTGAAAATATTAACTGACTTTCTATTTTTGGCTGTTGTTTAAATTTTTCACCTGCATAGATAAAACAGCTAAGGAATTTCCTCAGTAACTCTAATGAGAGAGTACCAACAATGTGGTGACTTGGAACTATAAAACTGCATAGTTCCCAGGCTTCCTAACAAATGTTAAGAGGTCAAGTCTGAAAGGCTTTCTAGATCAACATCTTGATCCACTTTGGAGAAAGGAACACATATAGTATGTAAGCACTTATAGTACAAAATTTGAGTTTGGTAAAGGTGAAATGAAAATCACTGTTAGCCCTAACTATGGCTCTTAAAATGCTACTGGTTTTCTAGACTGACTGTGACAGAAACTAAATCACAAATTCTGGATGCCCATAGTGTTTGTTATTTTACATGAAAATGAATATTTTCACTCAGCATGACTTGAAACATATTATTTGTCTCAGAACAAAAATCTGCTAATTCCAGGGGAAACAGTATTTGCCCTGAAGAAGATAATAAGTTAGGCAGATTTCGTTACATCCCAGGGGGAAAAGAAGATGAAAATTTATGGTACAGGCAATTTATAAACTACACTCCAGAAATGTTTCTAGAGAGGCACTGCCATGTTCCTTGTCTTTTCAATGAGGTCATTCCGCTGTGAAAATGTCTATCAGATGTGACTCTGTATTAACCACTAGAGGGCAGTGACTGCCTAACTAACCCACCACTGCCTTGCACTCAACATTTCAAACAAGCAGGTGTTTTAAGTCAACAAAACTATTTTAGTATACTTTCTTTCCCCGAAGCAGTCCTTTGGAAGCTAATAATGAATAATACTATTAGTTTTATTACTATGTGGATTTTGTAAAAAATTTATCCTTGTACACAACTACGTAAAATATGCAACCAACAAATGGTATATGACAGAGGCAAGTAATACACACATGTGGAATAGAGTAAGAAGAAAAGGTGTTACGCACCTTCTGTAACTTTAGGCAGCTCTGGAGTGAAAGGTATGGAAAAGCAGAGGAAAGTAAGCACAGAGTATTAGCTGGGTAGAAAAGTGGAGATTTAAAACTTTTAACTAATACCTGTACCTCATTTGAGCTTCATGATAAACTTGGGTTCTCAGGGCAACATTAAAACCAACTACACAGTTGGAAGATCCCTAAGAAGCTAAACTTCCATGTTTGTTTTTCTTATTCATTGTCTAGAAGTGCATTGCCCTATTTTCTCTCAGTCTTTCAGAAACAGTATCAAGTAGTCCTTGAAGAAGAAAGCTGGGAAGCGAAAACATTTCCAGGGTATTATTTGTAGGTCAGTTGTGACTCATGCATTTAATATAGTTATTTTCACTCAAGGTCCAAAGCTTTGCCAGGACACTCCCTCACAAAGGATTAGTCACAAAACATTGTTTCAAATAATAAGACAGAGTCAAGAAACAAACACAGGAAAGAACGGGGCAAGCAGGCATTCAAGGATTCAACGGGAAGATTGTTTAGAATCTGGCTGCAAGTCAACTGATGAAAAAGAAAAGAAAAAGAAAACTGAGGAAAAATAAAAAACTTCCTTCTCCAATTCTAAAACTCCAACATCCCACAGTCATTTATAAAAACTAGGGAAGCTGCTGCTGCTGCTTGAACACTTTCAACAGTATCAACTTACTTGGGCGATTATTTAGTTCTTCAAATGAAGTGATAATGAGGGCTTCCCCCCTAACATCCAAAGCCTAAAAGCTTTACTTCTTTAAAATGAAAATGAATGGCTGTGATTTTTAGGGCTCATTAAAACTAGTTTTTAGACATTTATAAAGCTTTTCCCTGAATACTAAAATAACAGTTATTGATCAACAGAAAATGCTTTCCAAAATGCCATCCTGAAGGATTTTAGCATCCTTAAAACAAATCTCAATTGAGTTAATTTTTATAAATATTAAAACACCTACATATTTATTGTATGTCCTGAAAAATTAAGTACCTTAAAAGAAGTCCAAAGCTATTCTTAAAATCAGCACTAGTCTTTGCATGCTTCTGGTAATTTTTTTTTAGTGCAAGATAGAATATGCATTTTTCAATATAGTTGTCCTAATGAAATACCTTAAAGTACATATTAGGAATAAATAACATCTGGAAACACAGAATATTTGAAAATAGAATAGCAAGCTTTTCAATGAATGATTAATCAGAATATTCTTGCCTCAATTGGTAAAACAAACAAATCAATAATCCCCAAATTCATTCAAAGCAAATGAATGTGTAGTTGAAAGTAAGAAAAATTACCACACATTTCTAGGGAGTCATTTCCTTAACATAGCTCACAGTCAAGACCCTGGTGAGGAGGCAGCCCTGACGCTCCTAACCTAGCCCAGTGTCTCAGTGGGAAGGGACTTGGGGGCCACTCAGGGTCTTGACAGACTGCAGTATTTGCCAGTTTTCTGCAGCTCTAAGCACCAAGGCTAGACAGTGTAGACCTTCTGGGAAAGAGGAATCTATTTGAAAGGAGAAAAGTCCACAGTCAAATAAAAATAGGATCAAATAAAATAAGAGGCAAGTGTCTAGGTGAATGTTTTTCTTTATACTATATCTTAAGTTATTTAATACTGGGCCAGAGACTGGCTCAGTGACTACAGGTGCTAGGCAGATAACCCACACTAATCCCTGGAAGTCAACTTCATAACATCGTCTCTGACATCCACACAAGCGTCATGGGAAGCACACGTTCTCCTCTCAATAAATACATGAATAAAGTTTTAAGGCAGACATGATGGCTCACAGGGAAGGTTAGGCAGGAAGCCTGCCATGAGTTTCAAGTCAATCTGGGTACAAAATGAACTCCAAGCTAGCCTGCCCTTCATAGGGAAAAACAGCTGGTTTCTTCTGTGAGATAAAAGAATGCTATCCAAATGGCACCCATTGGGCATTCAGAACCATTTCCAGATGATGCTCCACCCTCAGGAAAGACATCTGCAAAGAATGAAACCTCACTGAACACTTCGATACTTCAGAGTAGAGGCTGACTTCCACACAGAATAGTCCAAGTAACATTTGCAAAGGCATGAGTCAAAGATGTCCCCATCAATCTCCTACCCAGGATTCTGCTGCAAGAAGAGAGTTTGTTGAGCATTTACGATAAACCTGACACCCTTCTCATCGCGTTTATGTAGGAAGAAACGGGATGCTTACAATAACTGTAGGGAAATATTATTTTCATCTCTATTTTGGACATAAGGGAAACTGACGCTGCCATTAACTATATAAAGGCAGGCAACAGCTGGCAAAGCCAGAATTTAAACACAGGCAGTGTAACATCAGAGCTGCGTTAGCCTACTATGTCTACTGCTAGGCATAAAAGTCCTGCTGTAGGGTCAGTTATCCCACAGCTGTTTCAGATAAGAAAGGACAGAAACTTAATTAATAAATAAATAACGGTACAGCCAGACAAAGGAATACTATGGTGCTAATAAAAATTTAGAGTAAGTATTTAGTAACATAAAAAAAATGTTTGTGCTGAATTCATTATATGAAAAAAGAATGTTAGGAAACAAGTATGAATTTCTCTATTTAAAGAAAATTATTTAAGTAGTCATAGAAAAAAGCCTTGAAGAATATATGTCAAAATGTTAGCAGTAATTATCTCCTAGGAGCATATTTATGGGTGAATACGTTTTAAGTACTGAGATTGAACCCGCTGTCCCTGCACATGCTAGGCAAGTGCTCTAGCAATGGGCTGCCACTCTAGCCTGTCACTGTTTATTTTTAGACAGGGTCTCACCAAGTAGCCCAAGAGACTCCTCTGGAGCTGAGACAGCCTTGAACTTGTGATCCTTCTGCCTTAGCCTCCCAAGTACTCAGGACTGCTGACCTGTGCCACCAAGCCCGGGATAATGAGTGAATATGCCAGTCCCCTGTACACCTACAGTGTCTTAAACAAAATTAGGTAGGCATTTTTATGACGTATTGTAAGGCAGACTCAGTACCCTAATTGCTTTAAATAATGCCAAACCCTATAGTCATTTAAGGGTCCACGCGATCACGCACACACATGTTCATTTACTTTACCTTCCAAGAGCTGTGAGCTCACATTAACAAAATCGATTTTCTTGCGGAGGTAGCGCTGATTCAGTTTCCAAATGCAGGAAATGAATGCATTCTTTTCAGCAGTGCTGCTGGCAACCCACTTATACACTTTTTCAAAATGTAAATCAAATTCGGGATTTTCCTAAAACAGGAAAATGTAGAAATAGGTTGTGATCCTATCATTTTTCATTGTTAATATAAAATCTACTTAAAAATTAAGAGTGGGGCTGGTTTTGGGAGGCAAAAAAAAAAAAAAAAAAAGAACATTAGAAATATTGTGTACATGGCTAGGGATATACTTGCCTCACATGTTTAGGGGCCTGGCTTCAAACACTGCATACATACATGAACTGAATGACTTGAGGTGCTTAGAGAATACAATTTATAGAAAAAACCGGACCAGCAACAACCCCCGGCAGTGAACACTTTCTCTCTTGGCCTTAAAGTCTAGGAGTGAAAGGACAGGTTCCACACTTGATGGCTTTGTGCTCAGCTTCCCTGAGTAACATGACAATGGTGTCTAGCTTGAACAGGGCTCTCATTTTCTCTTTTTAGTGGCTTATGATGTTTTGGTTACATAATTTCTTCGACAATGTGTGATTTGAAACTAATTCCCTATTAAAGAATATACCTAATTAAAACATAAGGGAAAAAAACCCCTTGTATACTTTCTAAGACCAAAGATGGTGAGAAACAAGAGCTGCCCTTTTTTGTTGTTTTGTTTCTTTGTGTAGGCTTGGCTGTCCTGGACTAGCTTTGTTGACCAGGCTGGCCTTGAACTCACAGAGATCCACCTGTCTCTGCCTTCCAGAGTATTGGGATTATAGGTGTGCAGCTTTTTTTTTTTTTTGGCACTTCTTTTATGTTTTATGTTTTGAAAGTGTAGAATTAACAGGCACCTCACAAGGCAAAAATGTTGGAGAACTTTAAAGCTGTTTGAGAGACTGAGGCAATCTGAATCACACTGCACCTTCTGCAAGTCTTCAGGTCAGTGCTTAGTCTACTTCTCTGCTGCTCTGATAAACACTGACCAAACTGGGTTGGGGGAAGAATGGGTTATTCCATCTTATACTACTGCGTAACTGTCCACAGAGAGACGTCAGGGCAGGAACCATGAAGGAAAGCTGCTTACTGGCCTGCGCCCATGCTCTCATTTACGTATCTTCATTATACCTTCAAGGACCACCTGTCCAGGGATGGCACCACCCACAGCAGGTTGGGCCCTCTGAATCAATCAACAATCAAGAAAATGCCACAGAGATATGCGTACGGGCCAATCTGATGGAAGAAGCACTTCCTCAGCTGAAGTTCCTTCCCTCCACGTGACTCTAGTTTGTGTCAGGTTGACAAAAACTAACCAGTACTGACTGCCATTATATAGCAATCTTTCTTTCCTGACTATAGGACTACTTGACTCTTATGCAGAAATGAAAACATGAATGTATACTATTGTTCACTTCCAAAGAATTAAAACATAGACTCAAATGCACTACAATATAGGACAGTAGTATATTCCAACATATTAATCTTCTATATAGTAAAGAGATAATTTTATTCATTTACAGCAATATTCGGGGGGAACAAAGTGTTGACAGACCTTCAAGGCAAGAACAGTTAGATGAGACTATCACTTTGAGTAATAGAGTATTTTAAGGAACAGGACTTGACTTGTAGCATGATGGTCACACAACAATAGGATACAATTAGTAATTTGTTCAACTTACATCTTATAAACAGAGCTTATGCATTCCAGAAACTGAAAACCTGAGCTGGTGAGACAGCTCAGCAGGTAAAGGCACCGGCTGTCAATCTAAAAAGCTGCTGCCCAGGGCGGAGGAGACAACAGACTCACAAATTGTCCTCCGACCTCCACAAGCATGCACATGTGCAACTTTTATTGAAAACTTGTATTTATGGTTAAAAGTAATCCCTTACTTTTACCCTTACTTGTCTTACTTAGAAACATGTCTAAGAGTACTGGCAACGAATGTGAACTTGCTGGGAAATGAGCGCCTCCCTGGGAATATTTCCTCTAACGCCAGTAATGAGGCTGAGTGCTCCAGTGGCAGCAGCTGCACCAATCAATGCGCAATACTAAATGGCACTGCCGGCTACGTATGAAAAGTTCATATTTTATATCCATCTACAGTAAACACACACCAAGGAGCCTACACAGAATGAAACAACAACAACAACAAAAAACTCCAACCTATTAAGCAAGTGAGCCCTGAGGGCTCTGCCTAAGAAAGCGATGGGCAGTGTGAGGGAACTTCACAAGCCTATGGATGCAGGAGGTGTGTTTCTGAAAAGCTGCCCGTGTACTTCCTCTTACAGCTTTCCAAAAGGCTTCCTTCTCTTGCCACCTTCGTATCAGAAATTATTTACTGAAGCTAAAAACAACAACAACAAAACGCCCACACAACAGAAAACTACTTTTCTATCCAAATACTCCTCCTTCTCCCTCCCCACACTTGTCAAACCACTTTACACATTTTCCTAAATTCTGTGTGCTTCTTAGGAATAAGGCAAAAGTCTAGCTTACTAAAACACTTACATCTGTCTCTCTCTCTCTCTCTCTCTGTGTGTCTGTCTCTCTGTCTCTCTCCCTGTCTCTGTGTCTTTCTGTGTGTGAGAGAGAGAGAGGGAGAAAGAGATTGATTCAGAAGAAATCTGACAAAGATTGGCAAGGATTTCCTAAAATTACTCTTGCTTTTATTTCTTAGCACATGCCTCAATAACCTTTCATTTTATTCAGCTTTTTAATGCCTAGATTTTTGCCACAGAAGAGCAAAACCAGGGTTTCAGCCAGGCGTGGTGGTGCATGTCTGTCATCCCAGCATTTGGGAGATGGAGGCATAAGAAGCAGGAGTTTAGAGACAGCCTCAGCCACCACATGAAGTTTGAGGTCAAACTCATGGGTTGCCTGAGACCCTGTCTCAAAGGAACAAACAAACAAGACCCTGCAGTTTTCTCTCACCAGATCAATTTACAAATGTCTATGTCATTTTTTGTGCTTTCTGAAAAACAGACATAACTTTGGAGTTGCGGCAGAGGTGTGACAGCTACATGAGTGTGAGCCTGGCTCTGAGTCCCCCAGCACAGTGGCTGTGCTGCAGTGTTTTGCTGTGCTCCTGAGGCACACGGTGACAGAAGACAAGACATCAGAGCTAGCCAGGAGGGGAGGTAGAGGAAGACCCATGAACTCAGGGGGGAGCACTACTGGATTTCACAGGCCCTGCTGAGAACTGCCTTGAGCTGCCTTTAGTGACCCTTTACCGTGATTACTGTTAATATCTGTCCTCCAAGTTTGCTCACACTGAAGGTGTAAATTTATATTCTTAAAATTTTATTAAATCACCTCAAAATAAGGTGTGGCCCCACCCCCATCACTTCCTTTATTTGAACCACAAACACCAAATGTCAAATTGCCTGCATTCATTGCTGAGTCTTATGCAAAGATGGCTCCTTATGTACATCACACATGCTTTGAACCAAGGCTTACCAAAACAATGACTGGTTTTTAGAGAGTTAATTCACACAATACACTAAAGTTCATACTAATTTATAGAATTTTAAACTAAGGATATTTCATTTAAATAAAGAACTACATAGCATTAAGGTTATTTTACTCTAGTTTATCTAGCTTGGGCACAAATATAAGTGTAGCTTTAACAAACTAAAAAGCTGAACCAAACATACATATGTAGTTATTTTAAGTAGTCTAATAGTGGGGGTGAAGAATAGAGATTAATGTATTTTAGACTAACAGACGGCAGACTGACAGCCACAGAACAAGTTTGATCACCTCAGGACACACATGCTGTATATAACACGAAAGACTCCTTCTGAACACAGTCAAGGGACCATTGCAAACATACTTTGATGGCATCTTTAGCATCTACCACAGCGAGGTCTCGAAGGGCCCAAGCAATTTGCCTCTTGTAGAAATCTCCCTTGTCAGATTTCTTGACTTTGACCACCTTCACCTGCACGGGGCGTTCAGTTGTCACTGTTGAACAAAACACACACGATTGTTAGCAGTATCAGTCATCTACCCATTCTTCATTCGCTCACTGTAAGTGTTGCTTTCAGGTGCCTGATGTGGTGAATCTGAAGTAAGTGTACTGCCTTGTAATAGGTCACAGAGGAGTTCACAGAATCCTACAGGAAGCATCTAAGTCAGACGAGAGGGTTGGAGGCAGACAGATGCCCTGAGAGGAAAAGCTTCAGGCCTTTTTCACAGGGTGCAGGAAGAGAAATCTAATGACTCGCACAGTATGTCCAAAGACTCCTGATAGAGCCTAAAGTCTCCACAAAGAGCAATTCAATATGGACGGCACAGCATAATACAGGTAGATGGAAATGAAGCTGCCACAGAAGACCGACACTCAGCTCTTCAAGGCCTCCAGCTGAGGTAGAGGGCTGCTATAAGAAAAATGCCCTGCTCTAGTTTCAAAACACGACTCTGGCAACAGAGTAGAGTTTGGATTTGAAATGAATGCTGATACATTTCAAAAGCAAATGGCTTTCCAAACAACAATGAACAAACAAGTCAAAAAACAGCAAACCCCCAAATACACTCTTAAAAATCTTACATGTCAAAATGGACTAAAGCAGAGGTTCTCAACCTGGGAGTTGAACAGCCCTTTCACAGGAGTCACCTAAGACCATCAGAAAACACAGATATTTACATTATGATTCATAACAGTAGAAAAGTTACAGTTATGAAGTAGCAACAAAATAATTTTATGTTTGGTGGTAACCATAACCTGAGGAACTATTTTAAAGAGTTGAAGCATTAGAAAGGTTGAGAACCACTGGGCTAAAGAATATTCAGGGAAAAAAAAAATCTATTAAGCTGCATTTGCTAAGCAAAAATCACTTCCACTCCTCCAATCTAGTCCAGCAGTTCTACCTCCTCCTCCTGCCAAATTTTCAAAAAGAGAATAACTCCAAACACACAACTATTCTAGTGAGAAAACAAGGGGAGTGCCCTGACTTATTTACTAACTGGTTAACAAGCCAAAGGCAACAACAGGAAATTTACACATACACAATGAACAGGGATGTAAAAATCCTAAACCAGTATACTGGCAAATAGGATATTTATAAAAGATACCATTTTGCTTCATCAAATCTTACATTATTACTGGTAATCACACGCAGATCTAAGGAAGAAGACCTTATAACAAATATAACATGCAAAACTTTGAGAAAACAGACAAAATAGTGAAGCTCATAAAACAGAAAATCAACATGTTAATGGCATAAACACACCATTAAAAAAATGCAAGCTCCTTACAAATTGAATGACAGCTTCAAAACAATCCCAATCAAAACTGCAACAAATTCTGGAACTTAAGAAGTTGATTCTACAATTAGGGTGAAAGAGTAAATAACAAAAAATAAAACAAAAATGAGATATAAGAGAAAATCCTGAAATACAAATATGTGTTCCCACACACAGACAGACACATAAAAATATACCACATTCACTAAGACATAGTAAATCAAAACCTTTACAAACTAATGCTGTAGAAGCCATAAAGCATCAATTTTATTAAATGACAATTAAATTTCACTATGAGAAACCATAAAAAGTACAAAGATAAACCAGAAACTATACACCCCCATAACAGAAATATCTATGCAGCTAATAGATAGTACAGCACCTGTCCAGATACTGTAACAATTTAAAGACTGTAGGAATCTGTGTAAGGACAATTGGCCAACAGGAGATAAGCAAAAGGCTTAAGTGGCAAATCTCATAGGAAAAAAAATGGCCGATACATTCTTGAGAGGATCACAACCTCATCATCAGTTAGCACAGTGCATTTTTGAAACCACAATGACACACTAAGTCACTCCACCTTCCTGGTGACAATCTGTCTGTGAGAAGCAACTGTTGTTGATTAGGGTGTAGCGAGCACAAGGAAACCACACTTCTGTGGGACTGAAAAGAATAATCCCTTAAAACAACAACAACAAAATCAAAACTGTATCTTAGAGCAGAATCCACACCTAAGTGGATTTACAATGATTTTTAAAGTACACTTTTATTTTAAAATAATTTTGGTGTATACAGCAGAAGACAAGCTCAAACGCATTCACAAACCAGCCGTCTGAACAGCAAAGCCTAGAACAAACGTCACATCTTGCTCCCCCTGGTGGGATGTGTATGGGGACAATGAGACACTCATGGTGGAATATGAGTGTCTTCATAGCAGTGACTATGAAGGTATTTACAGCCTTGTGAAAGAACAAAAACCAAACACATAGCCAGGGGTGGTAGCCAATTGCAGAGGCAGGTGGATCTCTGAGTTCTAGGCTAGCTTGGTTTATGTGAGCTCCAGGGTAGCCAGGGATACAATGTGAGATCCTGTCTCAAAAACAAACCAATAAGAAACTCCAAAATAAAACAAAATTCTCATGAATGTAATCTGAATGGGAGAGGTCACAAAGAATCATAATTCAACTTATTAAAAGTTTAAAGACAAGTAGACCTAAATAATATAGTTTGAAATTACACATGGGAATGTGGTAAGATTCAGGATAGCAGACAGCTGAAAGGCAGAAAGGCACGGGTAAGGAAGACACCACAACACTTCACAGACAATGAAACTGTCACCTTACACTGTGTGCCGAGTGTTCTCCCTGTGACTTGCCATCCACCTTAGATACAAAGTATAAAAAACACCGGTTCGACAGTCAATAAAAACAATTAAAAATTAATTTGTCTGTCCAGGAATTTTCCCGGTCATAGAAACAATGAGAATCTGACCCTAAGGAATGAAGGAGTATCAAACACACATCTCTGCTTTGATGAACGCCTACCTGTGGCACACAGAAAACAGTTCTTTTTCTTTTTGCCGGCTTTGCAGACATTCACGATGCTCAGCAGGCGCTCATCGTTTGGTGTGAAAATATCTCTCTGTAACGCATGCTTGATTGCTGTCATCTTTTCTCAGCTGAAAAAAATTTAGAATAGAGTATCGAGCTCATTCTTAAAATCACTGTCCTCCCTCATAAACTGTCCCATTTATGACTCAAATGGGAAATTCTTCACTAACAAAGACATAAACACATATCCATACATCTATAGCATGAAAGCATGGAGCTTCAAGTTGTAAATAAAATCAGAGAAACCAGCATTGTCAAAGTCAAAACTTTTCCAAGGGTTCAGCAACACATTCACACATACACATATACACACATATATACATACATACATGCCCATTCACACACACAGATAACACACATACATACATACATGCACACACACAGACACTTGTACAAATAGCCAATAAATATACGAATAAAAACAAAAGTTCAGTATTGGGCTAGGGTGATAGCTGCTAGTAAAGCGCTTCCTTGTAAGCATCAGGACACAAGTCCAATCTTGTTTAATCTCTGGAGCCCACACAACAAGCAGTGCGTGGTGGGGCCTGCTTTTAACCTAGTGCCGGGAAGGCAGAGACAAGCCCCGGTGAACCTGGGGTTCACTGACCCCGTAGCCTCACCTATTTGTGGAGAGCTGGTCTGGTGAGATAACCACGTCTAAGAAAAGGGGAAGAGGTGTGAATGGTGCCTTGAGGAAAAACATGTGCAGCTGCCCTCTGGCTTTTGCAAAGGCTTTCCATATCATTAACCACTTGGGAAGTGCAAATGAAATCCACAGTGAGGCATCCACTAATTTCACCTGCTAGGAATGCTAAAAACCCAAAGGACACACAGCAGCAAGTACTGATGAAGAAAACTCTCCCACGTGGCTGTGGAATTACAAATGGTACAGTTGCTTTAGAAAACAGTTCGGCAGTTTCTTCAAAAAGGCAAGCATGCAACTCCCCTTATGATCCAGCTTATTACTCCCAAAAGAAATGAAAAGATCTCCACAGAAAAACTCACACGAGTGTTCAAAGAAACATGACAACCACTGGCTATATGAGAGGCACCAGCTCCAAGCCCCCTGTACACACCAAAACCTACAGATATCCAAGCCCTACATAGAATGCTATAGTGTTGTTAATAGACTATAGTCCACAGATTTGTATAATCTCTAGATTACATTTAACCCCAAGTGTAATGTAAATGCTATATAGTTACTGTGTATTGTTTAGAGAATGTTAAAAAAAAAAAACAAAACCCTCCATACATGCTCAGTATAAAAACCATTTCCACCAACTATCTCAGTTGGAGGCTGGTTGAATGTCTGGACTTGGAACCTGTAGATACAGAAGGCGAACCACATTTATAGAAGCCAAAAAAGCAGGAACAACTCAGTCATTGATGGAGAGATATGGAAATATGACACATTGAGGCTGCGAAAAATAACAGGGATGGGGTACTGATACAAGCACGATATGGATAAAGCGTAAAACGTCATGCTAAGCAAAAGAAACCAGGAACAAAAGACTATATATGATCAAATTACATTTATCAAAAGTGCTTCTTAGAACGGAAACACTCATGAAGACAGAAAGAAGAAAACTGCTAGGAGATGGAAATGAAGAAAGGAAACAAAGCTACTAGTGAAGGAAACCATTCTTCACTTAGTGTGATAGCGTACAAACTTGTGAATATACTAAATAATGAAGAAATGCTTGAAATGGGGATTCTATAAGTGAATTATGTATCAAACCAATATAGAGGTAGCTTTCCTTTTCCTTCTCACTTAATTCAGTCTTTTTTTAAACACTAATTTTTAAAGATCTTCATTTTTTAATAAAAATAATTTAAACAGTTTTCTTTATATGTATCTATCACTATTTTCCAAGGAAAATGTGCCTGTGGCATTAGTTTCTTTTACTACCATTTCTTTCAATGGGAAAAGAAACAATGACTTCTTTACAGAACTTCTACAAACTATATCTCTGCGATATTTTCCTAACTCCGTGAAGCTTCTATCTGTACTCCAACTATAAAATCCCTTTTCTCATGGAACCCACACCTTCCACTTCCATCCCTTGTTCACCTCAGCTTGAGTCTTAGCCATAACTTCTTTCTCAGCCAAGCCTGGAGGCAATACTCATTTCACAGTATCTATCTCCTTTGATTATTTTACCAGACTTACAGACCAATTTAACATCACCCACTTATCCATCTCCACAAACTGGGATTGTTTTCTACTTCTATAAGGCCACCAGCCAGTTTAAAAAGCTGTGTCTATCATAATCATTGCAAATATCTAAACCCAGTCCAAACTGGGGATTTAAGCTGCCCTGAAATTCTTTACCAGTACCTCTGATGATTCCTTTCCCAGTTCCATCACTCTTGTTGCAAATTCTTAGTACTCTCCTATCAGTCTCCCCCCTGTCCCACAGGGAGTAAAGTAGGAAGCACAATTCTCCCTAGTGCTCTCAATCTCTGCACACTCGCCTATCCTAACCTCCACTCTATACAGAGTGTCTGTGCTGCTTGTCCTAGTTAGGGTTACTGTTGTAATGAAACACCATGACCAAAGCAACCTGGGGATGAAAGAGTTAATTTCAGTTCCGCTTCCACATCACAGTTCAGCATCAGGGAAGTCAAGACAGGAACTCAAACAAGGCAGGAACCTGGAGGCAGGAGCTGGTGCAGAGGCCATGAGGGGTGCTGCTTACTGGCTTGCTCCTCATGACTTGCTCAGCCTGCTTTATTACAGAACCCAGAACCACTAGCTCAGGGAGAGCACCACCCAAAATGGGCTGGACCTCCCCCATCAATCACCAAGAAAATCCCTTACAGACCTACAGCCCATTTGAAGGAGGCATTTTCTCAATTGAGGTTCCCTCCTTTCAGCTGACTCTAGCTTGTGTCACACTGACATAAAACTAGCCAGCACACCCCTTAATATGTCTTAGGGCCTGGGTGTGACACTAAAGCTCCATTCCATCTTATCCTCAAACCAAACTGGACACTATCCAGTTTACTAGTTCTGTCTCTGGGCTTTTTATTGTTGTCGCTCACTTTTGTCCTTTTTCTGAAATTCTTGTCACTGTATCAAATTCCAACTCACCCCCAAAGATTCTGATAGCACACTGCCTCTTTGAAGCCTTTTCTCCTAGACAAATTCCTTTTCTACTGTTCTGCATCTCACCTCTTCTCTGACAACAGCCCTTCCACACTGTGTTTTTTTAGCTAGTGCACTCTAGCCCCTATTAAAAGAAGTCCTCTGTTGGCAAGGACCTTATCTTATTCATCTTTATATACCTAGCATTTGACAGGAGGTACACAGTTGGTGCTTAGTAACTACGTAAGGGAATACTGTAGCACTCAATAACAAACCAGGGATAGTTCCCTCGGTTGCCTCTTTCCAGCTAACACATCTGTAAGCAAACAGTCAGGTTCAAAACTGTCATAACTGACCACTTCCTCCATGTCACCATGAAACCTGTTAGCGTATTCTGTGACTTCTCCATCTACATACAATTTACTTTCCCTCTGCTTTGCTGTCAACACATGGACCAAGACTTACTACCTTTATGTGACAGCATCTGTTATCTCTTTTTAGGCTCCTACAGCCCTGAAAAAGTAGCAAAAAACTTTAGAACCGTTCTTACGTACCACACAACCTGTTCAACATCAGCCCAATGTTCTCAAGCCAAGCCTCTCATTCAAGGCCCTCTGTTCATTTCTGGCTTGAAATCTTTGCTTAAGCACCTTCCCATGCAGGACATATTACCTTCTCCCTATCCAAACCTACATTTCTCGGTTCCTCTGAAGCTGGCTCAATAAAGATCTTAACCCACATTGGTCGTTCGCCTAAATGTTCAGAGCACCTACTGCATTTACCAGACAAGTGTTTGCTATCTAACTGTGGCATGATTTGCCATCACCTGGATCTCCACAGCCATTTGTGAGAGGGGGAGGGTGCTCTGTCACAGGTTTGTGTCTTGGGTACTTACCAACAACCTCTTGATGTCACCCGTTTTACTGCAACAGTGAAAAGCTAATCGAAAGAAAATTAACGATGGCCAATGTTCACCATACTAAAGACTCGGTGTGTGGCAAATGATGAAACAGGAGAGGGTTGTCCATAACGCATAAAGGAATTACACATAATTCAACAAATATTGCTATTTGCTAAGTGCCAGGCTCTGGCGTATAGTAGAGAATCTGACAGACATGAATGGAGTGATATAGCTCCGTGACAGTCTTCTTTGGGGCTAGTAATTAACTCTCCAGTTGTTTATACAGAACTTTTCATTATGCCAGCAACTAAATTAATGTAGTAGCCTTCACAGCTATTTCCTAAGTCTAAAACCCATGTCCATACTCTGGGTTCTCTTTAGATCTTCGCCTTCTGAATAAAAACTAAAGCCTGCCCGTTACAGAGGCAGCTAACCACTGTTCATGGTAGGTCTTGTTTCCTTCAGCAGTACGGCCATCATTACACTGTGTGTAAAAGCAAGTGCCTTAGTGGGCTGGGCCCACCTACCGCAGACACATCTCAGCACGGAGTGATGCCATTCAGCGAAGACTGGTCAGAGGCTGGGCAATGCACTTAAGAGATTTATAAGGACATGTTATGTTGATTTGGACCAGTGGAAATCATGCCACTCCTCCTTTCCCAGGCCAAGCTGGTTGGGCAAAAATGAAATCTGTCCGGGATGAGCGGAACCGTGAAGGGAAAGACGAGGCTGCCTCCCGGCTCCGCCTTCTCCCAGAGCGGGACAGCAAGGGGTAAGGACGCAGCCTAGGATCCGCAGCCCGGAGCGGAGCTGGGTGGGTGGGCCGGGTGACCTGGGAGTGGCCGACCCGGCCAGGACCGAACACCGCCTCCACTCAGGCTGCCACCTCTATGACCGCGGGCCCCCGGCCACAAAGCTTACCGCGAGGCCGAGGCGGGTGCTCTGAGACGGACACTGGAAGGGCACCGGCAGCGACAGCTGCTGTGAAGCGCTTTTCATTGAGCAGGGAAAAGAGACCAGCACCCGCCACTTCCCGTATCCGGACACGTGACCGCTCTGGGCCGGAAGTTGACCCGGCGGAGAAGGAAATGGAGTCGGTGGAGGAAACGGGCCTGGCCAATGGCGTGGAGGAGTCAGAACGTCGCCTCGATGAGTGGGGCGGGGCTGCACTGTGGGCGTGAAAAGGCAGGGGTGGGGCCTGCATGCTCATAGACAGTGTGGTTCTCACCCTGGGGGATTTTCGGGATCAAACGGTCCTTTTATAGGGGTTCACGTGTCAGATATCCTATATATCAGATATTTACATTACGATTCATAACAGTAGCAAAATTACAGTTTTTAAGGCAGCAAAGAAAATAATTTCATGGTTGGGGTCTCTACCACCTGAGGAACTGTATTAAAGGGTCACAGCATTAGGGAAGTTGAAGACCACTGACATAGGCTTGGTTGGAGGAGTTGATACGGTGTTATTTCCTTTTTCTAGACATACCCATTCTGGTACTTAAGACAATTCATTTGAGAGTTCATGAAATGTTTTTTTTTTTTTTTTCCTTTGCATATGCAAAACCGTGTTAACTCTAGATCCTTGGGAGCACTTCTGTGAATTTTTAAGTGAGAATCTCTGCAAGAGGAACCTAGACATCATTCGTTCTCTTAATTTCTTCCCACCTAATTCCCAGAAGCAGCTACAGTCTAGAACCATGGCACTTAGGAACTTCATACTCTACCGGGACTTCACAGACCTTCTTCTTCGGTGCTTTTTAAGAAAGTGCACCCTCACTGGCTCACCTGAGATACTGAACCAGAATCTTCATTTTAAGATGATGCTTGTTTCAGTGTGAAAGGAATGAATGAGGCCAAGATTTGCCACATTTCTGGCTGGGGTTGAGTTCTAGGAAATTTGATTCCAGGTAAAAAGGCCATTCAAACTTTAATCGTATACCGAAGGAGTTCCAATGAGGTAGGACTAGACAAGGTGATAGCGAAGGAAGGATACATACTATATCAGGATGGGTTTCTTAAGAAAATGACGGATGAGCTGTCAAGGTATCTTGCACCATTTATCTGAAGACAGAAGTTTGGAAAACTTGGGAGAAATAACAAATAGGGACTTTTTTGGTTGATGAGGTCATTATCTTCTAGTCAAGAAGAATGAATCACGCAGGATTTAATTTTATATTTGGGAAGACTTCTTGGGTCTTTTCTTCTGACATCCAGAACATTTGCCTTGGACAGCTTTCCCGACAATTGAATGTGGGTGTTTTTGTTGTCCTTTTGCCTTTTTAAGCGTTTTTGTTTTTTAACCTATATATCACAGTTTTCCCCAGAGTTGGGAAGTGAATGGTATTCCAGAAGGCTAAGCTCTGCTACTTAACTCCAGATCTGTGTATCCACTTCTCTACCTCCAAGATTTCTGTTTGGATAACTGAAAGGTAACAACAACAACAACAATAATAAAATATTTGTTAAATAATAATTAATTTAATTATATAGTTATATAATTAGAAATTACTTTACATAAAATATATTTATTTAAAATATACATTATATCATATTTAATAACTACTATTATATCAATTCTCTTTTCTCTCCTCCCCTCTCTTTGAGGATTTGACCACAGAAGGTAGAAACGATTGGCGTGGGAGGAGAAATGAAACATCACAAAAAGATGCAGTCAGAGGAGGCGTGTTTGGTTGATCACCACCACATTTGAATATTTTCCGACTCTCTGGGGACATTTAAGAAATTTTGTGAATCTCTGAGCTGTCTACTGCAGGCAAGAGTGAGGGAGGCGTTTGTACTCTTCCTTTGAGCAAAGGGTAGTAACAGGGCTGGGCATTAACTGCTCCGCACTTTGAAGGCTCAGCTTACACTCACAGCAAACAGGTGCTGACGCAGGGGTGAGGGAACGGGTGCTGTGGTGGTGTGCTTGCTCAGAGCTCAGCAAGCCCTGTTCAGAACAGACTGCTGGAAGCAGCAGTTAAAACGATGAAGGAAGCTGGAGTGGTAACAGAAGATGTGCACAGAGGGTGTGTCCTCTCCAGCCCTCCCTGCACCATTCTCATCTGCTCCTCTTCGCTCTGTTAGGTTTAAATCTTCACACAAGTCACTTCAAAGTGATTACCAGCCACAAATTCTGCAAGAAGCTAGTAAAAGGGGGCGTGGTTAATGAAATAAGCTTCGGTTCTCACTGGTGCGTGTGTTAAGACCATACTGGTATTCACCAGCTCCCTCCCATACCGCACACCCTTGACCAGCACATCAGCTGATCTAGGTTGTTTCTATAGTAAGGTGATATACAGCCTCAGACTTTATTTTTTTCATTGTAGTTGTGCCACAGCTGTTGTAATTTCCTGATGAACTTTTTCCTGGGCCTCCAAGATAAGCCTCGATTAATTGTTTTAATTCCAGATTCCTCAAATCTGATGTTGTGTAGCAGCAATCCCAGATCCTTTTGCTAATCACAGTTGATTACTTCCACCAGTAGAATGCTTTTTCTTTTCTGGTTTATTTCTATAAGTACTACAAAGGGACAAATTGACAAAGTTTCAAGTTCAGTTAACTCCTCACTGTGTCCCAGTGGAAGCACTCTGAACTTAGTTTCTGATTAGCCAATGTAACCAATGTTGGAATCTAGCAAAGACTAAATTTGGTAGGTACCATGGCCATGGCAACTCTTATAAAGGAAAACGTTTAGTTTGGGTTGGCTTACAGTTTTAGAGCTGTAGTCCATTATTATCATGGCAGGAAGCATGGCAGTGTGCAGGCAGACATGGTGCTGGAGAAGGAGCTACATTTTGATCCACAGACAGCAGAAGGACACTGTTTCACACTGACTAGACTTGAACACATAAAATTCCTCAAAGCCCACCTCCACAGTGACACACTTCCTCCAACAAGGCCACACCTACTCCAACCAGGCCACGCCTCCTAATAGCGCCAGTCCCTGTGAGCCAGGAATTCAAACACATGAATCTATGGGAGCCCTTCCTATTAAAACTACTACATTAGGTAAGAAACCAGTGAGTCACTGGGGTCTGTAAGGTAGGTCAGTCCTGCTCTTATTCCAGAGTTCCTAGTGCCAGGCCTTAAACTGAGGGGAGTCTTTGTATTGGTTGTTTCAATGTACTTACTTAACACATTGCAGGACAATCCGCCAATCCCTACAGAGCAAAGTGCTCAAGACAGGAAAAGGTCATTCTAGCACTTCACAAGGCCACCTCCATTATGATAAAATTATGGCAGTGTGGTGATCTGAATGTGAATGGTCCAAATAGGCTCACATATTTGAATGCTTGGTCATTAGGGAGGAGTGATGCCACTTGACAGGGATTAAGAGGCGTGGCCTTGTTGAGGTAGGTGTAACCTTGTTGGAGGAAGTGTGTCACTTGGGGGTGGGCTTTGGGGTTTTCAATGCTCAAGAAAGGCCCAGGGTTTTTCTCTTCCTGCTGCTCCGATCCAGATGTAGAAGTCTGAGGTCCTTCTCCAGTGGCATGTCTACCTGTGTGCCACCATGTTTCCCTCTGTGATGATAAACCTCTCAAACTGTAGGCAAGCCTCAATCAAATGCTTTCTTTTATAACGGTTGCCATGGTCAAGGTGTCTCTTCTTACCAACAGAACACTGACTGAGACAGGCAGTGATAGTGGATTTTGTAGTTCTGCATTGGTCCTGAGGGTGCTGTAAAAAAGGATTTAGTAGGTTGAAGTAATGATGATCAGGGATGCTATATATAGTTTTGCTGATTTCGGACATTGGTAGAATTAATGAGAGAAAAGAGAGTCTTACTTCAGAAGGTCACTTCTTCCCTCTTACATAAAAATGAATAATAAAGTGTATTTCTACAAGCTCTACTGACAAAGAAGGCTCCCTGGTGGGTACTGTTCCTAAGAGCTATCCCTGAGAATGACATGCAGTGGTCAATGTGATGTGCCAGCCCACCTGTGATCTGGAATCAAGTTCTTTTTTCTGTATTTGGTAGTCATAAAGAACTCCCACGTGGCCATGAGAGTGAGTTGCAGAAGAGATGGCCATGTTGTGAAGGTAAATGATGAGGGAGTTGAACCAGTCTTGAAATGAATTGTGTTTTTCAGACCTGTTCAACTTGATTCTATGCCATTTGCATACTTCAACGGGTTGTTTCTGAGCCTGTGCCCCCGTGAGTTGGTGGAACTAATAATATGTCCATCTCCTGATAAGATGACCCTTATTTTCCCAGTAGAGAGTTATTGTCTGCTTCAGAAAGCTTGTCTTGCAGAACAGTAAGGACCTGCGTAGCAACTCTTAAGAGAGTTTACATAGTGTTTTTATCTATCACAGATCCCATTCCTTCATCTCTGTTGGGGCAAATGGTTTGGTAGTAGGGCAACTTGAATGGCATCCCTTTTGGGCAACACAGGCAAGTAGTGAGTACCATACCTCTGCATTAAGTTCATTCCAACATCCTTTCTTCTGGGAAACAATCTAGTAACTCTTCTTCCTTCCTCACAGTGTAAATTCATTCCAACACTCCTGATTCCCCATCCTTCTCACTCTCAGTACACATTCAGTGATGTTCTAGCATCTTAATCTCATTTGTCATAGGTCATCATCAGGTCCAGGAAGCACAAAGGCTGTGTTTTAGAACTTACTTCACCGATCCTCGCAAAAACACTGCATGGTGAATCAGCTAATGTCATCCACTTTCCTCTGTCCAGCCTTATGCTTATATTTTTATTCTTCTGACCTAAAACTTTCAATGTTTAGTCTCATATACACTCCACTTGTTCTTATTTTGCATATTAGGCTGTTTTTGCTTTATTGTTTGAGTTAGCATAATTCAGTGATTCTCAACATGAGATGATTTTTTTGTCCCTGGGGAATATTTGACAATGTTTTGAGACATTTTTTTGGTTGTCATTACTGAAAGAGATCTGCTGACATCTAGTGGGTAGAAGACATAGTTGGTGTTAAACAATCTACAACGCCAAGGATAACCCTTCACAAGAAAGAAATAGCCACCCAAAATGTCCCAGCTTTTCAA